TTTTTTATATAATAATTAACGACTGGATAACGATATTAGTGAAAACCTGTGAATGTATTTACTTTTAAATTTTGCACAGCCTATGAGTACAATGCGGCATGTAGGTACTTTTATTATTTCTAGGTATATTGTAACATCAATATAACATGTATTTTTTGCAAATAAATTTGTTTTAATTATTACAATCCCCATGCAATATGTAATAGGTACTTATAGAATAGAGTCGATTCTAATTTACCTTTTCTCTAAACTTATCCAATATTTTAATTAGATTTGTTTTTCGAATGAAACTGTAACTTAATTTATAAAGTTTATAATAATTTTGCCTCAAATCTATTAGAAATTTTGTTCATACTGGTCATTAGAATAAAAATTTCCCTATGATATTGAAGTAAAATTTTAATTTTAAAGGTAGGTTAAAAAAACTGCGCGGCGCTTTAAAATTAACCCCATAGTTTTTTTTTGATGGGTGAAAATGGAATGGTAACCCCGCCTGCGCTAACGGAATACGCTGGCGGAGCACCAGGGAAGGGTGATAGATGAGAATGAGAGCAGGTCAGTTAGCCCATCGTGACGAATTCATCAAGAATTGTTCACGATGGTTTCCAGGGGGAGCCACGTGGAGGTTGACCTACTAGAGCATATTGCTAGCAATGGGGCAGTCAAACCCCATTGCTAATAATCCCTTTCCCCCCGACCCCATAGTTAGGTACCTATTTACACATTACACATCACAGTTGCTGGCGCCAATGCATAGACAAACAATTGTCTATAGTTGTATTATCTGTCATTATTATCACATTAGATATGTTTAATTAGGATAAGGGTCCCTTTCGTCACTATCCGACCCTCAAATCTGAAGTAACACTTCACTTTTGTACCCAATTAGCGACGCGAGTGGTCGAGATTGTTGATACAACACGCGGCGTCATCACTCTATCAACACGTATCTACCCACTAACGTTTAAATAAATGCATACCTTTATTCCCTGCGAGTTTTGAAATGGGTAGATTATAAAGCATTTAAAATTATCTTTATAAATAATTATTTATACAAAAAAAATTAAATACAATTAAATATTTGGTCCATAAACAAAACCGAATTTACATGAGACTAACACAAAGGGAAAAAGTATTGACAGAAAAAAGAATAAACAAAATCGGTTCGAACTTAGATAAGATATCTTGTATCTATGTGATATATTTTTCTCTGCAAAACATCGCCAGTCTATACGGAATACAACATAAAATTAAATCAATTTAAAAAATAATATACAATAATGTATAAAAAAATCGTGTAATAAAAAAATAAGTTAGATAAGTTTATTATATACAATATACCAGTTCAGAGGAAATTGAAAAAGCCAAATTATCGGAATACCACATATACACATACAACAAAGACAAGAACAAGCTAGGCAGATACCTGGACCGTGTAAGTTTATTTTGACACGATCGAAGTGGCTGGTTTCTTCCCACGAAATCTCTGATTGTGGAATGAGCTCCCTGTCAAGGTTTTAAAGTCTGTATCCATGAAAACAGCAATATTACAACTCGTTCCGTACTCAGTTTTGTGAATTTAAAAAAAAACCTTTTTTTGTTATGCCACTGTGTCCCAATCCCGCGTTTTTCTTGTTATTACACTATTGTAAAATCTTCTAATAAATAAAATTGATTACAACATACAGTTATTATTGTGGATTCAACTGGGTATACCTTCAGTTTTCTCTAGAGACTACAGTATGTGGCTTTTTAATAAGGGTGTATTAAGGCTTCTTCAGGGTCAGCAACGAGCACGTGGCACTCCTAGTGATAAAGACGTCCATAGACTACAGTGATAGTTTAGATGGGCTATATACTAGTGTGCCACCTTCGCAATATAATTTTTTTTATACAACTTAGAATGGCAAACAAGCTGACGGCCCACCTGATTGATGGAAAGTGATAACCGTCGCATATACACATGAGCAGTACCATGGACATAACAGAGTATACTGTTTCGCCCACGATACCCCCCATGCGTTGCCACTCCTGAGGACTCAGGTGTTATTCCTTTGTACCCTGTAAATTCACGTCATATCCCACCCTTCAAACCGAAACACAGCCATGCAAACACAACTGCTTCACGGTTGAAACACGAAATAGAGATACCCGAGCAAACGACTTTTGTATATATTAAAATAATAAATTATTTAATAATATTATAATGTATTATTAAATAAATTAATAATTAAATATTTTTATTGAGCGTACTACCTGAGTCAATAAGATCTCAAGTTCATAGGTTAATATCATAGGTCATTCGACTCTGACCGAGCCCTTAAATTTTTATCGCCTTATTTACACTAACCGACCAACGTTAAACGTGCGCGAAGTCTGCGAATAAAAGCTTTTTAGATTTATAAACCAAATTATACCCAACTAATAGCAGGCATTGTCCCTTTGATCCCCCAAACTGATTCGATTATACTTGTCAAAACAGATTTGTTTCGACAAGATGTCTGATTGAGTACACGTGACCTATCTACGCGGAGTTTATATTAAAAATATTTTGTTTACAATAGACGCAAATTAGCGGAATAAATATAAACATTGCGACACTGTTGTATGATTATGCATAGGTAATTTAATGTAATTTATGTCATTATCATCATCATCATCATCACCATATCAGCCATTAACTGTCCACTGCTAAACATAGGCCTCCCCCACAAAGAGGGGCTTTGCCAGTAATTGCCACGCTTGGCAGGCGGGTTAGCAACTACAGTTAGGCTTTGATAATGTTTTAAAAAAAATACGGCTGCCCATACCTCAACACTCAACCATTAAATTTTCTTAATTAAATAATTAATATAGTGGTAGTAAATAAAAATAAACAATACCTACTTTTTATCTTACTTTTTGTAATTATTAATTTTTTGTGTACACATTATTAATCTTTGTAATAATTCTTTAAAGGAAACAATAAAGAATTTTTATTCCTTCAATAATTTCTATATATCGTTATCTTTGTATTTTGGTACAATATGTGTATTTAAGAAAATTAAAGGACATTAAAGGACACACGTGACAGAAATCTGCGTATAAGTGGGCGTCATTACGTTTGCTGTGATGCTATTTATATTTTATCACAAATATAATCAATAATTGATACGTTTATCCATTTATCTCAGCCTGATTTTTATTTCTGCAAGTGATATTAGTTTTACCTGTCTTGTAACAGTAAACAAGTACACAAATTGTGTTAATTAAATAATTAATACTTAATAAAAAAAAGTATAAAAAAATAATTAAGTAACTTTACACGATAGATACTTCTCCGGTAAAAGAAGTGAGGAAATCTTAAAAATACACTTTACAAAGTGTGTAAGCATCAAGAAAGTCCTTCAGAGCAGGATATCAAAACAAAGGCAATTGCTCGTTTACAAGCGAATGAATTTGAGACGGCACACGCGCGCGCCACGCGTCGAGTGGCGGAACTAACCTCTCTGTATAAAACAAGGGGTTTGATTTTTAAATAATCCTATATTTTTAAGTATTATATAAAAAATATTTAGCTATGTGGACACGGTAAACTGTATCAGTTACCTGATTAAATGTAAAGTAAAATAAACCATAAATAAAAAAAAATCCTTTTTTGTAGTCGAAACTCTTGAGTATCAATAAAAATTTTTGATTCTTAGGATAATTTCCCGATACTAGTAAATACCGTTAGCAAAATAAAGTAAGTCGAGTACTTCATTCATCATAGGGAACAGATTTTTTTATAAATAAAGGTCCACCTTCAGGTGATGACACAAGAGGTGACAAATGAGATATAAAATGTATTGAAATCCGTGACGAATGTAGGGGAAAAGAGATCGTAATTACTCTACTTTTCTTTTTTTCTCTTTAATACTTTGAAAAGACACAGAATATTTAACTGAATTTGAATTTCATCCACATGTTTATCTATAAATATAACTACGAGAATGAAACAGTGAATAATAAACAACGGGCCCCTAAACTGGATGTAACAAGGGTTCGGTGTCGTGTTACAATGGTTCCGTGCGACAATTACCCGCCCATTATTTTCGGTTTACGCCAGATTTGATCGAGAGACTCGACGTCGCTGAATTGAAAAGCGCGCCACGTGGCTGCGTTTTTTTTTTTTAATTGACGTTTGCAAAGGGTTCTTGTCTTTTATGATAATAAAAATTACTTGTTTTAATAATTAGCACATGATTACAATATTTGACTCTTTTATACTAGAATTCTTAGATTTTAGTATGTAGTTCGTTATACTAAGTCTATACTAGAACATGATTTTCATTTTGTATATGTAATTTATTTTGTTATTGTATATTTTTGGTGCAATTAAATTAAAAGTTAAATAAATAAATTTACAATTCATCATTATATTGTCATAGTCGTAGAATACTGACGGATCTTTATATGTAATCTTTGTCAGATCCGTCAGTATTCTACGACTATGACGATATCAGCTTTTAACTATCTAGGACTGAACATAAGCCTCCCCTTTGGGGGGTTTTGCCAGTAGTTAGCACGCTTGAAAGGTTGGCAACCGTAGTTTAGCTTTTGGAGATGTTTTTAGAGGGATACTGCTGCCTATTCCTCGCCCTCCCTTTGTCGCCTCTTACGAACCCACGGGAAAGAAGTAGCCTATTCTATTTTTATACAACTTAGAATGGCAAACAAGCTGACGGCCCACCTGATGGAAAGTGGTAACCGTAGGCCTATAGACATGAGCAGTACCATGGACATGACAGAGTATACTGTTTCGCCCATGATACCCGTCATGCGTTGCCATTCCTGAGGACTCAGGTGTTATTCCTCTGTACCCAGTAAATTCACGGGACCACACGGGAATTTACAATTTGGGGACACAAATTTACAATTTATAATTGCAAAATATCTAGTTATAAATAAATATTATTGGGATTGGAAATAATCGTATCTTGGTAGTCTAATAACAAAGTGTTTAATAAATAAAACGCTCATTTTAAGAGAAATTATATATATTTCAATATATTTCTTCACAACACAGTTATACCGTACTGCACTCACTACACTATTCGTACAAATTCACCGTAATCTATACAGCTACATCACAATGCCACCAAACTCACACGCAAAATACAAAACAAAAACTAAACCCAATCCGCTTTTTTTTTTGGACATTCAAAATTTGTTACGCCGTCTAACTTAATAAAAAAAAAAAAGTAGACAAAAGTACACATTGTAAATAGCCCTTTTTTACTTCATTTAATTCATTTTGTCGAAAAAGTATAAAAATTAAATGTCCAAAAAAAAGACAGTTTTACATGGGCGTGATTCAATAAATAAATATTGTTATACTATTTAATTATATACACAATAAAGCATCGATGTAAAACTACGGACAATTTGGTTTACGATTTTGATAGAATTTATAATATATAAAATTTCCATACATTATTTTTTGTAATTAAATAAAACAAACATAAATTAATACACCTTCCTTTCGTTTCAGCGTTAGTGCATCTCTTTTACACGTACTCATCACTAATGAGTATCAGAGAAAGAAAGCATATATCGCTGTATAAAAAAAAATACAAGATTAGACCTGAAGGATACACAGACTAATAAGACCTAGATAGAGTATCTCACCACAAAGGCTTTTCTAAAAATAGACAAACCATTATTCTTGTGTGCATAAATAGGAATACCAGAACTAAATGTTATGGCTATTACTAATTAAATGGGGTAAAAGAGTACTGCAATTTTAACTTCTAAATAAATAGAATATCTTCACGTTTGTATTCCCAAAGAGGGTTGACGTCAGGCAGGCGGCCGGTCATAAAACTAAAAGCCAAATCTTTTTGTAATATGGATAAAAACATATTACGCCGACCAATTACTAATTAGGATAAGGGTAGGAAGATAATGATGTTCTTCACGTTTTTATTCTAAAGGGGGGGGGGGGGATAAAGTAAAAGTTACAAGATTAGCAAATATGCTCGTCTTTACCCAGTAGTTACTAAGATATCTGTTAACAGACTAGCAATAGATATACATTCGTTGTCAGAATCATTGAAAGAGGCCACCATTTTGGTTAATATACATAAACTAATTTGTAGAAAACGTATACATACATATTATATTACAAAATATCAATACAAATTGTAAAAATAACATGACCTGGAGAATTCTGAATAATGGTGTTTAAATAAAATAGATATGAACCAACATTTTCTGAAATTTTTTTCAACTTATTGAACATATATATATAAAAAAAAACTATTCATGATCTGATGTTAATGACTAGTTTTTATTATTTTTTTTATTTTTAACAATTGACGTCCCATTTCGCTCGAAGGTAATTTTAGAGTATTCAAATTCAGATAATAACTTTATAATAAAACATAAGTATAATTGTACGGTTGCAAAAAAAATAAACACCAATTATATATATTTAATGTGCAATAGTATCACCTAATAAAAAACTCTATCAATACCATAAACCACATAAAATAACTAAACTATTGACTCGATATAGCAAGAATTGATTCGTGATTACAATATAAAGTAAATATCACTATAATATCTGGCAAAGCATTGACCAAACCGACGCGGATATGAACAAGCAGCGGGACAACAAATATTTTGTATTCGTCATTATTTATTATACCTCTATCTCTATACCTTGCAACATCAACACAGATATTAAGTTAGTACAAATAGTTCATAATTCATGTATTATTGTCACATTTTATATCAAAAAAACAGTATTAAATGATAATATACTAAAACGAATTATAAATGGCAGAATGTCCCGCGTTCTGTACTTTACCGCGTTCGTTTGATCACAGCTTAACTTCACTATACGATACAATATAAGAACATTCGTACATTATCATTAATTGCTTTTCTTTATATTTTGTATACGTTTCATTGCCAATTAATATTTAAATATATAGCCTCAATATATGACACGCGATATAGTGATGTTCAACAAACATCAAAATAATTATCGATTAATTGGTATAATCGATATTAATAATACATATAAATTAGAAAAAAATTACAAAAAAAATACTTCTTGATTGCCAATTAACAATTACATTATTAATAAAATAATATTAACACATTTTCTATTATTAATAAAGCTAATGAAAAGCGACACATTATAAAGACGTAACGTAATTTTTTTACAATATCTATTATGACTTTTAGTATTTTTATCGATAGTCTACATAAATATCGATGTTTCAGAAACACTAGATTAAAAATAAAAAATAAAACGGACACATCGTTTCTTTATCAGCCTCGCGTTATTTCAATCATTCATTTTTTATATATCTAATAATTCCAAAAAACTACCACAACTACCCATTGAGAATTTGTTTTCAATTCTAATTTTTTTTTTGTTATAATTTCGTAATGACTTCATAATGACTCTGCCGCATAAATGTGATAATCGACTTTGTAAACATTTTTGCTTTTATATAGGTATAAACTCTCTGTAAATAAAATTTAATAGTATGTCTTAAATATACAATGAATTATTATAGATTATTTTTATAATACTTCACAACAAATTTTTTTCGCAGTTACATCTGAGTGTGTTGCCAGTTTCTCACAGCTGAAACTGCCTACTGAACTCGACGAAAGGCAAATATTGTATTTAAATAAATTATTAATAAAGTCAGATTTACATTTAATCACACTGGTAACAATTCTTTTAGAAATTTAATATTATTATTACATTTACACTGGAGCGTGATCGACAAACTGGAGCAGATCTTTAGAATACCGGGATGCCTTCTAGTGGCAATCCCAGTGATCTTCTGGAAAAGTTTAGGTTGGATGGATTAACCACACTCTAACCGTAACACACAATGGCCCAACCACGAAACTAAAGTGTGATAATGCTCCAACAAAGGTATTAAAAAAAAGTGTATTTAGAAAAAAAAAGTATTTCTATGAGTTGTTTAGTACCTATAGTACAAACTCTGCTTCATTTAGTGGAGCTAGATGGCGCTGTGTAATATGTCCTGTGATATTTAAAGTCACATTTACGCGGCAAGCTACAGAAAAGAAATATTTTTACACGCATTTGTTCGATTACTGTGGCTAGTACGTTACTAATTACATTATTAAGTCTTTACATTACACGCTATGTTAAATGGAAATTAAATCATAATCTATATCATTTACATCATGGAGGAGAAGTTATTCGAAAGTCTTACTAATAAATGCCGTTTTGGAATATAAAAAATAATATTTCGCTATCAATTGACTAAATCAAAGAGCTGTTATTTAAAAACAATTATGATATTGAAAACTGACTACATACCTATATCTGTCATTACCGGATTTTTTGGCGATTGTCCAACGTTCCATAAGCAAATACATTTTTATTCTAATTCAAACATAACACAACCTCCTTTGACTCTAACTTCAAGAGTATTTTTCTTTAAACAAAAGTGGGAAATCATTGCACCATACATTTGAAAACATGACTAATTAATATAAGGTTATTAGCCTGCCAGTCATAAATAAAAATAAAAAAAAATTGTATTCCTTCAGCTGTATGAATAACAAAAAACAAATTCTTCACTCAAACAAGAGAGCTCAATTTGATTTAATTTTCATAAAAAAAAAATCCTCTGAACGTTAAACTGATACATCGATTGCTGACTTATAATTTAAATTTATAATAAGCAATAAATAGTATTATATCGATTATTATTACGTATTACGTATTCTCTCTGCCTACCCCATGTGGGACTAAACCTGAAGATGGATATAATTATATATTAGTGTTGACATATATATATATTCATTCACATTCTCCCATAATTTTGGAAGCACTTGCTAATATATGCAAAACATATAAGCTAGTGCAAGCCACTTGTAATTTTCACAAACACACATTCGTTCGCAATATTTTTCGGCTCTAGACTCTAAGGTTTTGAGCGTTCGTCGTCGTCGTTTGGTGTTGCCATATTAAAAACTTCATAAACTACACTATGTTACATACTTGTCACGTTATCCCAATATATTTGTGCAGACATTACATTCAGACTGCGTAGATTTCGTTTAATAATAATAATAAAAAAAAGTTATGTCGACAAATCTGGTGGTCATGCAGCAAATTTTCCCCCTACTTAAGACACACTTTATTTTTATTTAACAAAAAGTATCCGAATGGTACGTTTTACGAAATAATTCGTTTCATACTGCGATAAAATTTTAAATGATAAAAAAAACTTTTAAGAATCATTAAAATAAAATGTTTATTTTTTTTTTGTTTCAAAAGAGTTTCAAAATAATTCCAAAACGCAGACAAAAATAAAAAGACAAGGTCCACTCTGTAACTTTGACAAGTTATATTTTTCTTTGCTCAAACTGATCATATTTTTATCAATCGTTAAAAAGTAGATTAGATAAACATGAACCAGTTAAACAACCTTTACCATATAGGAAAGGAAGTCTTTAAAGAAATAATAATAAATACATGTTCCTCTTTTTATTACAATTAACCATTGCGCTTTACAATATTAAAAAAGAAAGTGGAAAATAGAAAAAATAAATGAATTAATAGAGCCATCAACATGAATGATTGAAAAAAAAAATGATGATTAATATAAAATTAACTTGCTGACGAAATCGTACGCACGTCCCGAGACTAGTATATACCAATATACAAACATGTTATTAAATGCATTATACGTCTAAATTTAGCTACGAAAAATTTTTTTCTCTAATAAAAAAAAACTTTACAGCTTTGTTCACTTGAGATCAGGCTTCTTTATCATTGTACTATTCACTTTGAAGATACAATATTGAATGCATAATATTTAATACTGATTTATTATTCAAAATCAATTTGATAATATCATTTTACTTTGGTCAGAAATCTTTGCCCATTTTTAAACTTCTAAACGATATAATGTGTTTCTCTTCTTCTTATATATGTAAATACAAAAATCATAGTCTAACTTTAATTTAAATATTAAACTAATCGATCGATTAGTTTAGTTTAATCATCAATTAGTTAAATGATTACTGACCAAAATAAAATTACTAAACACCCTTATACAGCACCTTTAACTGTGATAGGACGTTACAATTTTAAACAAACACTCTTTAAAACATCACCCAGTTAAATATAATTGTTCGTACAAACTAATTTCTAAATAATACAATTGTATGCTATATTTGTTTAATACATTGCTTCTACAGTGATGTTCGAGATTATACAATAAAAAAAAAATATTCGTTGTTTTGTTTAACACTTATGTACCTCTGAAATACATTATATTATTATATAAACCGACAATGGTAACAATCGACACATGCCACTGACCGCTCCATTAGGGATTATAGACGCAAGTTATTTTTATTATAGATAAAAAGATCTTGAATCCGTTCTCTTAGGTATCCGAACTGACTTCTCGAATTACATAATGAATTTAAACTTGAGATAAGCGCCATCTATTGTGTTTTTAAACTATAGACTGTAATCCTATATTACATTCTTTAAAAATATTTTTAAATCTTTGTATTTGGAAATCTTAATAAACAGATTGAAACGCTTTTGTCGTCTTTCCTCTTACTATTGAAAGATAATAAATAATTCGATCGATATGGTTAAAATTATAATTTATAACGATCTCAAACAAAGCACTAATAACACACATTCGCATCATCCGAGTATTGAATTCAATACCACTTGAGCCGATAAATGTACACAATAGTTTAATTGAACTATATTTTTGTACATATTCTTAAGTACTGAAATTAAATAATGTATAATCAGGTACAAAAGTGATAAACAAAAATGATATCAAGATTTTTATGTCGTATACAAATATAAAAAGAATAGTCATAAAAAAATAAAAATATTCATTACAGTCGTTAAGCGTTCGTTTTTGCATCGTGTCTACTCGACTGTCCAAAGGTTGGCTCCAATCGTCCAATTTTGGATCCAATATTTTAAACGTACATTTTTATAGACACGATTATGTTGGATCTGTAAACTAAACCGACTACTACTTTAAAATATTGTGTAAGGTTGAAATGTTTTAATCAAAAACAGGTTGTAAATAATATTATTATGTTAAATGAATAAGTACATAATTATTATTCGAATAATTTCTATTATATATTTATTATTTATAGTTCAATAAATATTGCCAATTTTTAATAATTAGTATTTATTTTTATAGATTAATTTCTTTTTATAATAATTACCTTATTAGTAACAAATATTTATCATTTTTTATTATTGCAAATTATTCCCTATCTCTACCACGGACGCAATCCAATATTGGACTCTTTGGAGCCACCCACTGGACATGCATCCAAATATTTGGAAATGTATCCACGCTCTTCGGAGCGGTCGTTTATCCATTTCGTTCTACCTTAGGTTGTATTATAGTGGTGTCTCTTTCCTCCACTGAAAAGCGTTCGTTTTGACTGCGGGATTTGCGGAACTGGCACTGGCTGCCAAAGCTACGCCGGTGCGCCGAATATTGGCCGCAGCATTATCTAAAATAATAAAAAGTTTTAATAAAAATAAATATCAATACATTTATCAGAAAATTATTTATTAATTATTTATTTAAAAAGTATTATTTATTAATTAAAAAAGTTGGTTTCACAAATGTAATTTTAATAAAAACAGTTTTATTAATATCACAGCTTTGTCCACAATTATACTATGGATTTATAGACGTTGTACTCAAATTCCATGTTTTTTTTTTTCATTCCGTAAAAACTTGTAATTAACTATAAGGAACACACAAATATTATTCAAGTCATTATAATCATTCCCAAATGATTTGTTATTAATAAACGTACGTTTAGCACTGGTACAAGTTCGGTAAGAAAAAAAAATTATATATATATATATATATTATTTATTATTTTATTTTATACAACTCAGAATGGCAAACAAGCTGACGGTCCACCTGATGGAAAGTGATAACCGTCGCCTATACACATGAGCAGTACCATGGACATAACAGAGTATACTGTTTCGCCCATGATACCCCCCATGCGTTGCCATTCCTGAGGACTCAGGTGTTATTCCTCTGTACCCAGTAAATTCACGCCATATCTCACCCTTCAAACCGAAACACAGCCATACAAACAAAACCGCTTAAGGGTGAAACACGACTGGAACAGAGGTACCCAAGCAATCGACTTTTGTACAAAGTCTCCTTCTGGTAAATATTTATTAAAGCCCAAAAAAGTTGCATGGTTTAGACAAAGTAAGCGGAGAAACAGACAGACAGACGTAGTAGAGACTAAATTTTATACTATTTAGAGATACAGCAACATTATCCTATAATATTAAATACAAAAACTCACCTAGTCCATTTCGCACATTTGCTACGAGTCTCATGGCCGGATTTGTGACTATACCGTTCCTCTTGCTCTTACTGTAGACAGAATAAAATATTTGTTAATCTTCAAGGAGACCGTTTTGTTACTGATATCAAACCCAAGCGGATACACGCATGAAACAATACTAATTGATATGTTATACCGTCATACTCATGAAGTGGTCGAGTGAAATTGACTACGTGGGATTTATTCTACAGGTTAAATTTAGGTATTAAAATATTTCGGAGCAAAAAGATCGAATAGACGTCAAATGGACGTAATCTTACCTTATATTCGACGCCTATTCATTGTAATTTCCCACTAATTATTATTTATTACGTTTACTATCCTAATATAATTTACAGATTTAGACAATCTACCCCCACGTAAGAATCCAGTCTTAAACATATAAACGTAATTTCAAATAGTGCTGAAAAAATAGGATTTGGTGTGAACTAAATGTGATATCAGTACAATTAGTTTGTTAAAGCTTAGCGCCGTTAAAATGTTAGCAACTGTTAACACATTAACTTCTTTAATTAAAACTCAAAATTATTAACTAATTACGAAACTTAATGGGACATTAATGTGAAGGTGAATTAACAATAAAAGAATAAATATTACAAAACTTGAACTAGAATATAAAACAAGTATAAAAAAAATAAAGAATGTTTTTAGCATATTTTAACAGATATCGATTTGACCTTATTGGTTGTTACGCCATCTATATATGTAATAAAGTAAGCCGAAGTCGCAGACATAGCGGCAAGAGATTCCTAACTAAATTGAAGTTATTGTGTTAAAAATTAAGTTTTATACTGTAACCACGTCAATGATTATGATGTTACATGTAGTGTTAATAAAACCAACACCACTCCACTGATTTATAAAAAAAAACACTTTTATAAATCAGTAAAAACATTCACATAAAAAAAAAAAACAATAAAAAAATACTAATAATAAATATAAAACAAACATTATATAGTGCAACGACAACTTTATATTTACTAATTATTACATATTACAAACTACTGGAAAAAGCATACGATTCGTCTAATGGTTAACTGTCACCTTAATCTATGATATTTACTATAGTCTGTTTTAGAAATACGCATCAAAAATGTTAATTATTAGACCTCTTTTCATAAAAGCCACTTCCCAAAAGTCTGATATCTGTCACCTTCTCATAAAAACAATGCTACAAATATGTTAATTGCAGGGCGCTGCTACGGATTTAATTTATAAATTTATTCTAAAATGGTTTGTATGCACATATATTCATTTTTAAGATCAGTACGTATAGTACTTTGTAATCACAGAAATTATAAATCTGATATTCAAGTATTTGAAGAAAATTTCTTGCCCGTTGCATCCCGAATAGGTGGTAAAATAATAAAAATGACTATTAAAAAATGCTTAAGTTTAAGTTTACTTAAATAAAAAATATTTATTTCTTTTTTTCAATTAACTCCTGCATATTTAAGTATAGGTTGAGCTAGAAATGTCAATCGACCTTTTTTTCTTTGACCACAGAAACTTCATTCTTCTCTTTGTAACACAATACTGGCCACTAAAACCATAAAATAAATATACTAAAATATAATTTACGAATTCATCGAAACATTTGTACGAAAAAGTATTAACAGTTATTATTAAGTTAACATTGACTCGATAAATCTTAATACAATCCTGTATGTGTATACAGTTATTTTTTATTGTATTATATATTCAATTTTACTAGATATTATTTAGTTTATCTTTAGCTGTACGGTTTTTGCCCATGTACATTCTACACTTTTCTTTCAGCTTCTCAAATGTTGACTATAAGAGATCCCTTTATGAGACAAGTCTGCCATTGTATATTAAATCTTTTAATGTATCCGATACAAAATATGTACAATAAAGATTTTTACAATACAATACAATAATTCTTTTATAATAAAAATTGTCAAATTTACTTTTTTTTTAATTAAACAAATTTTTAGATATTATCCTACTACTTATACTATTATATACCACATTGTGAAAAATAGATAAATCCAATTAATAGAAAACAAACCTTTACTACAGTCTGATGAGGAATGATCAAAATGATGAATGATGATGAAAGTTACAGTATAAACCTATCACCAGCATAGCCAATCCTAGCAAAAATTTGCAAACTAGCAGTGACTGTACTGTGACTTGTACCTCGTGGATGAGCAAAGATGAAAGTAAATGAGGTTCTAGGTTCAATTTTAGATCAGGCTAATTGAGATATTTTCTTTCTTAATTTTATAATAATTTATAATTTTAATATCGAATAAATAAATTAATTTGTATTTATTTAAAGAAGAACCTAAAATATAAACAAATACTATTTTACAAACATGAAAACGTATTTTTTATCCTAATGAAATAAAAATTGGACAATTTTGACATCCCATCTCAAAGCACAATTTTACAACACCAGAAACGACACATATTCTTAACCTATAATTGTTGTAAACTATTAATGAAGAAATACGCTTCTGCCCGGGTAACTATAAATATACCGCCTCAAATTATATAAATTTTATATTGCAAAATTTTAAACATTTGTATTGCAAATAAAATTATTTATGTGCACAACGTGGTATGAATTCTTTTTTATACGCCTTAAAATGGCAAACAAGCTGACGACCCACCTGATGGAAAGTGGTAACCGTCGCCTATAGACACGAGCAGTACCATGGACATGACAGAGTATACTGTTTCCGCTCATGATACCCCCCATGCGTTGCCATTCCTGAGGACTCAGGTGTTATTCCTCTGTACCCTGTAAATTCACGCCATATCTCACCCTTCAAACCGAAACACAGCCATGCAAACACAACTGCTTTACGGTTGAAACACGAATGGGACAGAGGTACCCAAGCAATCGACCTTTGTACAAAGTCTCCCTCTGGTAATAGATAGGTAACCGAAAAACAGATTGCAAAAGCGCAACAATCTAATAACGACCGCAAGACATGCAGCGGATTCAAAAGGACTGGAAACAAACTAAATTGGAAACCGTTAGAGGAAGACTATGGTTCAGAATCTGACAGATAATGGTAGCAATAACGACAATTAAAAAAACAGAAAGATACAAGCTATATTGAGGAAAGCTACAAAGTTGCACATTTCAGTTGGTAAAATGGCTGCAATAAAAAAAATTGGAGCTTTACTTTTTTTATAGGCAACCAGGGCAGAAAGGTATTTATTTTTCTAATCTTTGTCAGCAATTCATATCCCGACCACTGAATAAAAACCCACTATCAAAACAGCTAATATCGTGTAAACCAAAACGACAATTTAAATATAAACAGCACAGTACAGTCACCACCCACCAACGAAACATTATACCGTCTCTTTCACTCACGTTTTCTTAAATATCCTGCCTCTCGCTCGTCCGATACTGCCCACTATGCGGTTGTATGCTAGGCGACCCTTCGATGTGTACACCTCTCTAATAGGATACTCTATTATATTAAATTCGAAACGAACAATTTTCTCACGTTAAAGAAATATAGAACAACATACTTATTACAAATATGTTTACAAAAAGAGGAGTATTTATTATTTTTAACATGTATGTATTTATATGACATTCATAGCTCCTAAAGCTGATCAAACGGCTCTTCTCCTATTTATTGTCACGCAAAAAAAAAAAACAATATAATAGCAATAATTAAAATATTAGATGAGAAAATCATTCGTCGGAAATAAATGGGGAAATCTAGAAAGCTCGGCTACATATAAATAAGAACAAAAAATCTGGCAACAAAAGCACAGGCGAAGTTATGCAACAAATGTATAACGGAGATGTACCGACTAAAAAAAGCTCATTTATTAAAAGCTTCTTGCAGCCAACAAAACTTTTTACAAAACGTAAGAGAACCAAGACAACCACGATATGGGATATACTCGTAATCTTATTTATTTCGCTCATTTTCATTTTTTACTTATTTTAAATCACTATAAAGGCAAATAAATTATTATTATATCAGCCATTAACTGTCCAATGCAAAACATAGGCCTTTCCCACGATTGGGAAGGGGGGGGGTGTTGGTTGGAGGTACCGTATGTACGTTTTGGTGCTTTTTTGGTGAGGTTTTAAGAGACGCTGTTGCCCATCCCTTGAATCCATCCAAATTAACTGCGACTAATAAATTACGAAATAAAGTTAGTTAATAGTCGGTATATCTCTATTATAAACTCTGTAGGCATACGAGCACAAATATAAAAATTTATATTCGCCACTTCAATGCGAGAACACGTTTTTTATAAATTTAATTAAATAAATTAATTTAAAAGATCAAGCACTTAAAATTAAGTAAATACATATTAAATAAACAAACGCGTCCAAGTAATCTCTAGCCGCGAGTACAATTCCCACTTTATCGTTCACTACCTCTTTGTAACGACACCATAGTCTGCATTGAAAAAGCGACATAAATTACGTAGTTAAGTAGCATTTATAAAGGTATTTGAGGTTATTTAGAGCCTGTTTCTCAGGTGCCCAATAGGTTTCCTGACAAATTGATCACAATTCAGAAATAAACACTATTAATTTACTTAACAAATCTTAATAGTTTTGGAATTCTGATATGAAATATTTAAGATGTTTTTTACGAACATTAACAACTGTGAATCAAGCCCTTAACATTAAAGTAACGACACTGCATGTACTATTGACATAGGGCAGAGGCATATAGACATGCTGTAACTTTGTAGGGCATTTATAACAGGAGACACTATTATTATATTAATCTACCACGAAAATCTGTTCGAAATTTCGGAATATAAAGAAATAAAAAAATGTTAAAAACAACAAAAATATCCTGTCAAAATGCTATTTCGGTTGTTCACACACTATGCTACAGTTTATGACAAACAGATACATCATTAAGTTTTGATATGAGGAGCATGTGCTAAAGTACGACATCCGAAAGTTCAGAATTACATTTCATGGTAGACTCCCATAAAAAAGTAAGAACGTGATCTTATTGTTTTTATCCAGTTCCAATTTAATACAGGTGAGTCCCGTTTAAATATTTCATTTATAAGAAGCCCTTCATGCTAATGCAAAGCTTTTTTATTGAACAATAAGAAAAGAAAAAATAATATTATTTCTCTTAAAATTTGATGGAGTTTGCGGAAAAATAATCTCTCAATAATTAAACCCTAACTAGGCATCATAAAAAATAAAACATGGATTACTTTTAATTTTTTATCACTTCCCTTTTTAGCTAAACTAGATTATTTTATTTTTTTATGAAAAATATAAGAGTTTATAAAAGCTCTGAAAACTGTCGTCGTCTTACCTGTCACTCCTGTCTTGCGGCTTGCTGTCTCTCCCCAGGATTATTCGCATGTGGGTGTCCCGGTTGAAGTGCGTGTCTGTTAGTATGGGCTGATTGGTTAAACTCGGAGGTTGAGACCCTGAATGGAATAGTGCATATTTAAGGAAATTTGCTTTAGCATTGAATAAAAGAATATATGTCTGTATAAGTTACTTTAGCTTCTGACGAAATAATATAGTTTAAGCGAAGTATGTGCTTTGATATATACATGTATTTCATATTTCCACTATATTTTGATAATATTACTCGACATCTACAACAATTTTAGATGGATTTTAATCATTCCTACCACTCCCATGTTGATCTTGTTTAATTCTGTCACAAATATAGTTAACTCTTGTATTTACTATATCATTTTATGTATAAATATTATATATCAATAGACTTTTAATAAAAATTTTAAAGCTTTCGAATTGTTTACACATATTTTAAATACACTATCAGGACTTAACGCGATGAATATTTTTTTCCCAGCAAATAGTACCTATATAATACCTAATTACCTATAGTTAATACCACAATTATAATTTATTCTTAAAATAATTTATTTATTCATAAAAACGTCAATCCTCTCATAAACCTATTTTAGCCATTGAACTGCTTGGTCTTTTGTATTAAATTTCCCATTAGAAAAAAGTGACAAAATATAATATACAATATAAAGGGTCTCTAAAACATTATTATTTTCACTTTTAAAACGAAATTTATCTCTAATTTAACTATAAACAGACATCTCACCAAAAGCTTGTATGGGCTGCGTGGGACTGCATATGTCGCTGACAGGGCTCCTTGGAGGTGACGCATATAGCGGACTCATGTTGTCCCGCTCGTACCCGCTGTAGTGCCGTTCCTCACGCCTCCTGTCTCGCTCGCATGCGTACCCGCGGATATCGGCGTCTCGCTCATTCGCTGCATAACTCCTGCGCATTACATAATTATTAGGTTTTCATGTACAACAAAAACCACCTAAAAATCGTATTACTAAGATGGCACCTTCCGCTCAAAAATATCAGTCGAAAGTTCATGTTATCTTGTTGCATAAATTTAATTGAATAAATAAAAAAAAAAAACATTGGAACCGTGATCATATTCTAGACTCTAAATTTATCATCATAACATCTTCTGTCATATTCACAGAATATGCCAGTGCCATTCTCTTTTACATGTTGCATACCTTAATTTAGAGTCTTTCTCTACAACATGATGCTCCGGTATAGTACTGTCTCGTTCTTTATCTCTTCTCCCTCTTCCGCATCGCGCTACTTGTTGCGTGAAAGAGAGGGATAGATTTGCGCGATTAGCCTGTAAAGAAAATTTGTATGTGAAAATATATCAATAACTTTTATGACCACTTGTCATAAAACATAGGTCTGATAGATGTTTCATTAAACTTGTTCAAAAACAGTTGTGTGCCTATAAATTAAATCAATTTAACTCTTTTTCCAACAATCCTCGTATATTTCATAAACTTTTAAGATAATGTACCTCGATTAGGCCTAATCATGAATTCCTTTAACCTTTGAGATACTGTACATCGTTTGGGCCCAAGATAAAATATCTTCATTAATGACGAGGTAATTAAAGACTTGTCATATGCATTTTCATCATCCTAGGAAATAAGGAAATACCTTATCGTGTGTATTGTGCGCGTGGTCGGCGGCGGCGTGCTCGTGGTGGTCGTGCGAGCGAGCCGAGCCAGCTGTCAAGTTGGACGACGACTTGGTAGAGTTGGAACTGTGCACGCTGCGACGCTTGTACTCGGGAGAACCTGCACGGAGGTTAACAATCATATTGTTTGTATTGGCACACTATATAATAAATAAAAAAATGGGATAAGTACATTGCAAAATCAATTAGAAACCTATTCGTTATTTAAAACATTTAGTGTATTTACATTAATTACTACGATTGATTTTTCAAATAAAGAAATGAAAATTCATTCAATATTTTAAGGATAACAATTTATTTGCTAGTCCCGTTACTAATAATTCCCTTTCCTTAGTTGTTGGCGACAGACCTCTTTTTATATAAGTTTATCTTTTTAGATTTATATTTCTATATTTTGAATATGTCTTTTGATACCTTTTTTGTTTTCTTACTAGATTGACATATTGTATATATTGTGTACGTCAAGAAATTTTAATTATACTGGTAAGCCTCTCTAATATTATTATTGCCGCCGTCCTATTCTCTTATCAGCGCCGTTAATACTAGTAGACGTTGTCGTGTACTCGGCGTGTGAGTTATACGTAGATGACTGACCAGCGCTGGGCGGGCGCGCGGGCGGCGGCAGGTCGAGTGCGGGGGCCGCGAGGGGCGGCGCGGGGGCGGAGGGCGCGGTCCAGCGCTCCAGCAGGCGGCAGATGTTCGCGTGCCCCGCGCGCCACGCCACCTTCGCCGGCGTGCGGCCTACACACAACATCCACCAATGACACTTCACATAAAATCTCTTAAGAATATTTACAACAAATATCATCACATTCGGATCACATAGCGTACGACTCATATGAGAAGGAAATAAATTCAAATTCAAAATATCTTTATTCATGTAGGTCAATTGACTCTTATGATATGTCAAATCTACCGTCAGTTCGGAATGATTTCGAGATAAGAAGAACTGACAAGAAACTCAAGTCGTGTTCTTTTCAAATAAATTTTATGCATGTTTACAATAATACAGATTAATTTTTAAATTCAAATTTCAGAGAATAGAGTGACCACCAGCATGTGCTATTGCAAAAGCAAATAGTCTAATCAATGTTTGTAACCCAAACAGACCAGGCCACATAAGCAGAGCTGAGTTCACGAGTATGATGGATGATCAGCCGTCATTGCACTCAACCATCTTAGAGCATCAACCCGGCCCACCACGTCGCCACAAGTTAGAACTTTATAGCGAGCATGACTGTTTCAAGTTACTCCACTACGTCATTTATAGTATTTACAGCATAGGCTGTAACAATCACAGTTTTACCCTAATAAAAATATAATGCTGTACTAGAAAATACACATGAAATTTACATTTGTAAGCAAGAAATTAAAATGTATTGGCAAACGGATTAAACCCTTACCACAATGATCTGCTTGTAACGGATCAGCACCATGTTGCAGTAACCACAGCACGCATTCCTCGTGACCCTCTTGTGCTGCTATACCTGTAAGATTTATATTATTTAGATACGGTAACAATAGAGCACTGTGGAAAGCAGCGTGAACTACACAACGTAGTGTACAGTGTATAATGAGCGACAAGACGCCGTACGATAGCAGAGCGCGGTGAAGTGTAGCATGTACTGTAATGTGCAGTGTACAGTGAGCAGCAAGTACCAACCTAGCGGCGTGGCGCCCTGTGTGCAGACAGCGGAGGGCGAGGCGCCGTGCTGCAGCAGGGCACGTAGGGCGGGGGCTCGGCCCCGCCATGCTGCTGCGTGCAGTGCCGTCCGCGCACAGCGGTCACGGCCATCGACCACTGCCCCACCTGACACAAAGTAAAAAGACGAATGTGTATATGAAATGAATTTTATAAATATTTCTTAATAATAAATTCAAGACGTACACATATTATATTGTAATTAATGTAATTTTATATAAATGTAACGAAGAATTGAAGAAAATGTAACTTACCAACTTTTATTAATAAATTGACCATTTCAGTATGTCCTTGCCAAGCCGATACATGCAATGGAGTCCGACCCTGCAAAAAAATATTTGATATTACTAACTTTACTAATGGAAAACGAAATTTCATTTTTTTTTTCATTTTGTTATTAAAAACGTTATCAATATCAATCAATCAATCAATGTGTGTGTGTGTGTGTGTGTGTGTGTGTGTGTGTGTGTGTGTGTGTGTGTGTGTGTGTGTGTGTGTGTGTGTGTGTGTGTGTGTGTGTGTGTGTGTGTGTGTGTGTGTGTGTGTGTGTGTGTGTGTGTGTGTGTGTGTGTGTGTGTGTGTGTGTGTGTGTGTGTGTGTGTGTGTGTGTGTGTGTGTGTGTGTGTGTGTGTGTGTGTGTGTGTGTGTGTGTGTGTGTGTGTGTGTGTGTGTGTGTGTGTGTGTGTGTGTGTGTGTGTGTGTGTGTGTGTGTGTGTGTGTGTGTGTGTGTGTGTGTGTGTGTGTGTGTGTGTGTGTGTGTGTGTGTGTGTGTGTGTGTGTGTGTGTGTGTGTGTGTGTGTGTGTGTGTGTGTGTGTGTGTGTGTGTGTGTGTGTGTGTGTGTGTGTGTGTGTGTGTGTGTGTGTGTGTGTGTGTGTGGTGTGTGTGTGTGTGTGTGTGTGTGTGTGTGTGTGTGTGTGTGTGTGTGTGTGTGTGTGTGTGTGTGTGTGTGTGTGTGTGTGTGTGTGTGTGTGTGTGTGTGTGTGTGTGTGTGTGTGTGTGTGTGTGTGTGTGTGTGTGTGTGTGTGTGTGTGTGTGTGTGTGTGTGTGTGTGTGTGTGTGTGTGTGTGTGTGTGTGTGTGTGTGTGTGTGTGTGTGTGTGTGTGTGTGTGTGTGTGTGTGTGTGTGTGTGTGTGTGTGTGTGTGTGTGTGTGTGTGTGTGTGTGTGTGTGTGTGTGTGTGTGTGTGTGTGTGTGTGTGTGTGTGTGTGTGTGTGTGTGTGTGTGTGTGTGTGTGTGTGTGTGTGTGTGTGTGTGTGTGTGTGTGTGTGTGTGTGTGTGTGTGTGTGTGTGTGTGTGTGTGTGTGTGTGTGTGTGTGTGTGTGTGTGTGTGTGTGTGTGTGTGTGTGTGTGTGTGTGTGTGTGTGTGTGTGTGTGTGTGTGTGTGTGTGTGTGTGTGTGTGTGTGTGTGTGTGTGTGTGTGTGTGTGTGTGTGTGTGTGTGTGTGTGTGTGTGTGTGTGTGTGTGTGTGTGTGTGTGTGTGTGTGTGTGTGTGTGTGTGTGTGTGTGTGTGTGTGTGTGTGTGTGTGTGTGTGTGTGTGTGTGTGTGTGTGTGTGTGTGTGTGTGTGTGTGTGTGTGTGTGTGTGTGTGTGTGTGTGTGTGTGTGTGTGTGTGTGTGTGTGTGTGTGTGTGTGTGTGTGTGTGTGTGTGTGTGTGTGTGTGTGTGTGTGTGTGTGTGTGTGTGTGTGTGTGTGTGTGTGTGTGTGTGTGTGTGTGTGTGTGTGTGTGTGTGTGTGTGTGTGTGTGTGTGTGTGTGTGTGTGTGTGTGTGTGTGTGTGTGTGTGTGTGTGTGTGTGTGTGTGTGTGTGTGTGTGTGTGTGTGTGTGTGTGTGTGTGTGTGTGTGTGTGTGTGTGTGTGTGTGTGTGTGTGTGTGTGTGTGTGTGTGTGTGTGTGTGTGTGTGTGTGTGTGTGTGTGTGTGTGTGTGTGTGTGTGTGTGTGTGTGTGTGTGTGTGTGTGTGTGTGTGTGTGTGTGTGTGTGTGTGTGTGTGTGTGTGTGTGTGTGTGTGTGTGTGTGTGTGTGTGTGTGTGTGTGTGTGTGTGTGTGTGTGTGTGTGTGTGTGTGTGTGTGTGTGTGTGTGTGTGTGTGTGTGTGTGTGTGTGTGTGTGTGTGTGTGTGTGTGTGTGTGTGTGTGTGTGTGTGTGTGTGTGTGTGTGTGTGTGTGTGTGTGTGTGTGTGTGTGTGTGTGTGTGTGTGTGTGTGTGTGTGTGTGTGTGTGTGTGTGTGTGTGTGTGTGTGTGTGTGTGTGTGTGTGTGTGTGTGTGTGTGTGTGTGTGTGTGTGTGTGTGTGTGTGTGTGTGTGTGTGTGTGTGTGTGTGTGTGTGTGTGTGTGTGTGTGTGTGTGTGTGTGTGTGTGTGTGTGTGTGTGTGTGTGTGTGTGTGTGTGTGTGTGTGTGTGTGTGTGTGTGTGTGTGTGTGTGTGTGTGTGTGTGTGTGTGTGTGTGTGTGTGTGTGTGTGTGTGTGTGTGTGTGTGTGTGTGTGTGTGTGTGTGTGTGTGTGTGTGTGTGTGTGTGTGTGTGTGTGTGTGTGTGTGTGTGTGTGTGTGTGTGTGTGTGTGTGTGTGTGTGTGTGTGTGTGTGTGTGTGTGTGTGTGTGTGTGTGTGTGTGTGTGTGTGTGTGTGTGTGTGTGTGTGTGTGTGTGTGTGTGTGTGTGTGTGTGTGTGTGTGTGTGTGTGTGTGTGTGTGTGTGTGTGTGTGTGTGTGTGTGTGTGTGTGTGTGTGTGTGTGTGTGTGTGTGTGTGTGTGTGTGTGTGTGTGTGTGTGTGTGTGTGTGTGTGTGTGTGTGTGTGTGTGTGTGTGTGTGTGTGTGTGTGTGTGTGTGTGTGTGTGTGTGTGTGTGTGTGTGTGTGTGTGTGTGTGTGTGTGTGTGTGTGTGTGTGTGTGTGTGTGTGTGTGTGTGTGTGTGTGTGTGTGTGTGTGTGTGTGTGTGTGTGTGTGTGTGTGTGTGTGTGTGTGTGTGTGTGTGTGTGTGTGTGTGTGTGTGTGTGTGTGTGTGTGTGTGTGTGTGTGTGTGTGTGTGTGTGTGTGTGTGTGTGTGTGTGTGTGTGTGTGTGTGTGTGTGTGTGTGTGTGTGTGTGTGTGTGTGTGTGTGTGTGTGTGTGTGTGTGTGTGTGTGTGTGTGTGTGTGTGTGTGTGTGTGTGTGTGTGTGTGTGTGTGTGTGTGTGTGTGTGTGTGTGTGTGTGTGTGTGTGTGTGTGTGTGTGTGTGTGTGTGTGTGTGTGTGTGTGTGTGTGTGTGTGTGTGTGTGTGTGTGTGTGTGTGTGTGTGTGTGTGTGTGTGTGTGTGTGTGTGTGTGTGTGTGTGTGTGTGTGTGTGTGTGTGTGTGTGTGTGTGTGTGTGTGTGTGTGTGTGTGTGTGTGTGTGTGTGTGTGTGTGTGTGTGTGTGTGTGTGTGTGTGTGTGTGTGTGTGTGTGTGTGTGTGTGTGTGTGTGTGTGTGTGTGTGTGTGTGTGTGTGTGTGTGTGTGTGTGTGTGTGTGTGTGTGTGTGTGTGTGTGTGTGTGTGTGTGTGTGTGTGTGTGTGTGTGTGTGTGTGTGTGTGTGTGTGTGTGTGTGTGTGTGTGTGTGTGTGTGTGTGTGTGTGTGTGTGTGTGTGTGTGTGTGTGTGTGTGTGTGTGTGTGTGTGTGTGTGTGTGTGTGTGTGTGTGTGTGTGTGTGTGTGTGTGTGTGTGTGTGTGTGTGTGTGTGTGTGTGTGTGTGTGTGTGTGTGTGTGTGTGTGTGTGTGTGTGTGTGTGTGTGTGTGTGTGTGTGTGTGTGTGTGTGTGTGTGTGTGTGTGTGTGTGTGTGTGTGTGTGTGTGTGTGTGTGTGTGTGTGTGTGTGTGTGTGTGTGTGTGTGTGTGTGTGTGTGTGTGTGTGTGTGTGTGTGTGTGTGTGTGTGTGTGTGTGTGTGTGTGTGTGTGTGTGTGTGTGTGTGTGTGTGTGTGTGTGTGTGTGTGTGTGTGTGTGTGTGTGTGTGTGTGTGTGTGTGTGTGTGTGTGTGTGTGTGTGTGTGTGTGTGTGTGTGTGTGTGTGTGTGTGTGTGTGTGTGTGTGTGTGTGTGTGTGTGTGTGTGTGTGTGTGTGTGTGTGTGTGTGTGTGTGTGTGTGTGTGTGTGTGTGTGTGTGTGTGTGTGTGTGTGTGTGTGTGTGTGTGTGTGTGTGTGTGTGTGTGTGTGTGTGTGTGTGTGTGTGTGTGTGTGTGTGTGTGTGTGTGTGTGTGTGTGTGTGTGTGTGTGTGTGTGTGTGTGTGTGTGTGTGTGTGTGTGTGTGTGTGTGTGTGTGTGTGTGTGTGTGTGTGTGTGTGTGTGTGTGTGTGTGTGTGTGTGTGTGTGTGTGTGTGTGTGTGTGTGTGTGTGTGTGTGTGTGTGTGTGTGTGTGTGTGTGTGTGTGTGTGTGTGTGTGTGTGTGTGTGTGTGTGTGTGTGTGTGTGTGTGTGTGTGTGTGTGTGTGTGTGTGTGTGTGTGTGTGTGTGTGTGTGTGTGTGTGTGTGTGTGTGTGTGTGTGTGTGTGTGTGTGTGTGTGTGTGTGTGTGTGTGTGTGTGTGTGTGTGTGTGTGTGTGTGTGTGTGTGTGTGTGTGTGTGTGTGTGTGTGTGTGTGTGTGTGTGTGTGTGTGTGTGTGTGTGTGTGTGTGTGTGTGTGTGTGTGTGTGTGTGTGTGTGTGTGTGTGTGTGTGTGTGTGTGTGTGTGTGTGTGTGTGTGTGTGTGTGTGTGTGTGTGTGTGTGTGTGTGTGTGTGTGTGTGTGTGTGTGTGTGTGTGTGTGTGTGTGTGTGTGTGTGTGTGTGTGTGTGTGTGTGTGTGTGTGTGTGTGTGTGTGTGTGTGTGTGTGTGTGTGTGTGTGTGTGTGTGTGTGTGTGTGTGTGTGTGTGTGTATGCGCACCTCCGCGTCGGTGGTGTTGACGTCGGCGCCGCAGTGCGCGAGCAGGTAGCGCGCCATGGCGAGGCGGTTGTCGAGCGCGAGCACGTACAGCGCGCTGCGCCGGTCCGCGTCCAGCGCGTCCACGGCCGCGCCGCGCGCCACCAGCGCGCGCACCGCCGCGAACTGGCCCTCCAGCGCCGCCAGCCTGCCGCCCGACCACATACATACTCTTTATTGTTTCCTCCAACAGATTACAACAGTAAACTTATTGTAGATATAAACAATTACAAGAAATAATCACATGTTGGCTTGATGATATTTATATATTATATACATTCAGAAGGAGTGAGAGAAAGATTATTAGGTACGAGATTGTATAATGAATAATATTTACAATAAATTTGTCGCAATACAAAAATATTGTTCGGTAAAATTAATTGCTAAGACAAGAAGATTGTCAAGCACGTCGCTATTCATTTTTCTAAAACTACATAAGTTTGAAAGAGGTTGGTAGCCTACTCGTATATCATCACCATATCAAACGTTACCTGTCCACTGCTGAACACAGGCCTCCCCCATAGACTGCCATAAGGACCGTTCCTTCATTTTGCCAGTAGTTGCCATGCTTGCAGGCGGATTGGTAACCACAGTTTGGTTTTTGGTGATGTTTTAAGTGGGACGCTGCTGCCCATCCCGCTACCAATAAGTTCCTTAGTCATTAAGTACCACTCGATCACACCGCTCGCACTGGTTATTAGGACCAGACACCTACTTGACGTTTTTACATTTGAAAAGGATGCTCTCAATGCAACTGTATTTTTGTAAATAAATATACAGTATGTATAATAAGTACACCATATCTTCGTGACTTCTAAAAATATCTGGCTCGAAGGACCTAAAGAGGACCAATGAAACGTAAGGTTTATACCGCTAAAAGCTTACGTCACAGGCGAAGTAATAGTGTTTAATAAATATAAATATTTTCAATTATCTCCAAATTTTCGTATCTTCTTCATGCTTATAACAAGGAATTATAAATTGAGAACCAAGTAAGTGATGTAATTGCTTAGCAATTAAATTACCAAATATTAACTATACACAATAAATATTAAATAACCTAAGGCTAATATAAATTTAAGATGAAATTCTTAACTATCATTACCTGAACGCAGTCTTCCCATCGTGGGCGTGCTGATCTACCGGCGCACCCCACTCGTCCACTAACAACTCGACGAGCCTGGTATGACCTTCCTGTGCGGCCAGCATCAAAGCGCCTTTGCCATCATTATCCACTTCGTCCACTTTCGCGCCCGCTTCGAGTAATGCTTCGCAAACCTCAATGTGACCTATAAAGAATTCATATTTTTTTCTGTTTATTATGCAACGTTAAATGGCAGGCAAGTTGTCGACCCATATGATGGTAATGAAATCTATAGACATGAACAGCGCTAGAGACTTTACAGAATACTCTGTGGACGTACATAGTTCCTCATAAGTTGCTGTTCTTGTTCACTATAGTGTTACGCCTCTGTAGCCAGTAATTTCACTACCATATCCTTATCACTTATAGTTTACTAACATTGAAATAAGATGAATGTGAATGATTAATTTTTTATTCATTATATGTCTGATAATTTTTCAACAGTTCATTACGAATTATTTAATTACTTAAAATTCTCTGCCAATTTATTTTTTAATAATGCGCATAAAAAACCATCATCTAAAATCATTACAGATTTATATTTGCTTTGCATCGTAAATAAAACATGTTTTTTTTTCCATTTAATTAAATTTAAATTATTTTTTAATATAATACCCTACTTGGCATGCGGCAAAGAAATACATCGATTAACTACATTTTCGTTGACATACATAAGAAAGAAATAACCTGAAAGTTATCTCGTTTTAACATATATTATGTGTTGTCATAACATATCTATTAATCAATATGCTACTTATATAATAAAGCAATTGGCATATTGGCACTTAATAAGGCTTTCCATAGAGGGGTTCATACCTTCGAAAGCGGCGTAATGCAGTGGCGTCCATCCCGAGTTGTCCCTGTGGTGTTCATCCAAACCGCGGTCCAGCAACTGTCGCACCACTTCCACGTTACCTGCATACCAAAACAGACATATTTTAATTCTATTACAATTTAACAATTTTATTTTTATATCGCTTTTCATTTGAAAAATCCCAAAAGAAAGTAGGTGGATAGCGGTGATCCCCATTACGAATCATTTACAACCCCAACTACAATGAAGTCATCAGACACCTTAATTGATGGAGGTCACCGCCTCACATTGTAGTTAGGCCTCACATTGCACATAAGGCCATAAATGACCCCAAGCACAAAACTATAATATGAGAAACCTATAATCTTTAACCAGTAACCTTGTCTAGTTGAATTCACCAAAGCCGTCGCTTCTTCAATAGAGTTTAACTGTATCCTTCGCTTTATACAAAGCAGTAGTATTGTATGCAGTAGTCAAGTACTGATTTTTTTTTTCTTATGACTTAGAATGGCAAAACAAGCTGACGGCCCACCTGATGGAAAGTAGTAACCGTCGCCTATAGACATAAGCAGTAACCATAGACATAACAGAGTATATAGAACCCTTTCGTCCATGATACCCCTATGCGTTGCCATTCCTGAGGACTCAGGTGTTATTCCTCTGTACCCTATAAATTCACGCCATATCGCACCCTTCAAACCGAAACACAGCCATGCAACCCCAACTGCTTCACGGTAGAAACACGAATGGGACAGAGGTACCCAAGCAATCGAAATCAATGGAGATCAAGATTGAGCCGGATTATAATGTGTGCGGTGAGCAGTGACCTTGCGCGGCGGCGGTGCTGAGCACGGTGCGGCCCTCGGCGTCCATGGAGTCGACGCAGGCGCCCCAGAACAGCAGCAGGCGCAGCGTGCGCGCGTGGCCGGCCGCCGCCGCCGCCCACAGCGCCGTGCGGCCCGCCGCGTCCACCGCCTCCACGTCCGCCTCCGCCTCCAGCAGCAGCTCGCAGATCTCGCTGCGCACGCGCATGCAACACATCATCTTAGCCTTCAACCGTCCACTGCTGAACATAAGCCGGTGGTAGGCAGATTGGCAACCGCAATAAGGCTTTGGAGATGTTTTAAAAGGGATGCTGCTGCCCATCTCTTGCCCTCGCTTAGTCGACTATTACGACACCCACGGGATAGGCCTATTCTATGCCGGGACCATACGACGACATGCAACACGCATTCAACTTATTAACCAGCTCCAATATTATTTACATACACTTTGACATTTACAATCATAGTCTGAACATAAAGAGCAATAATTTGACTTTATGTTTATAATAGATAACTACAAGAAAAAAGTAAAAAACAAACAACTCACGTGTGTCCTTCGAATGCGGCAACGAGTAGCGGTGTAGCGTTGTCTCTGTCAGCCTTAGCGACGTCGGCACCCCGCTCGAGCAGCAGTGCTGCACAGGCGGCACCGGTCGCACACAACGATGCCACCGATAGAGCAGTACGACCTGTCATAATGAAACGTGTCGATAATATATCCCGGTAACCCAGGCAAGAACAGGCAAGAGAAACAACACTGTGATGACCGTCTATGAAGATTTTAATTTGAAATTAAATATCGGTCACGCAATATATAATATTGAAGTGAAGCATCCGATCGAAATGAATATTGAATGAATATATGATGATTTCTTATTCCTTTATCAAAGATCAGAGATACTCTATATATAGATACTCTCCAATATATAGATATTGAAGTGGTAGTGATTTTAGCCATGTCTAGAGACTATTTTAAGGAGAAAATTTATAGATATATACATCAAGTAATAATATAGAACCACAAGATTTTTTAATATTTTTTTTTCTATAATAAATAAAATAGCACAAAGTTTTGTTTATAACATATGCGTATCATATTTGCACGATATTTAATTATTTTACAGTTTATTGCACCAAGTAAAAATAATAATAAATACAGTAAATATTAATGCGATATAAAAGACGGCATTATCGCTAAGACAACACGACTTCCAGCTTCCAGACAACACGATAATTGCTTCACTTAAATTGGGTTGTAAATATGAATTTTAATAATAATAACGGGTATTGGATACTAATAAATAATGAATATTTTATACGTGATCACTAGACATAGAGGCACCGGTCACCGGACCCCCCCCCCCCCCCAACTAAAACTTATCTTACCATCTTCATCGGCATGATCGATCTCTGCGCCTGCGTCTAACAGTGCTCGTACTATATCAGCGTGGCCCATGTAGGCGGCGGCAATAAGAGGGGTCCGGCCCTCAGCGTCCGCTTTGTCTGGATTCGCGCCCGCCGCTAGTAACCGAGACACTACTGCTTCGTGACCCGACCATGCTGCAGCTCTGTAAAAAAATATTCGTACATGTTACATAAAACACTAAAACTGAGAAACGACTTGACAGATTTTTTTTTTTTATTTTGTTCATCATAGTACAAGGAAAAAAAATCTCGTAAGTTCAACTGAAAATCGCAAATAATAATTTTGTATGGGAATCGATACTTCGGAATTCTTTTAATAGGTGACGTTCTAGGTGATACAAAATATAGATAGTATCCTGCGTCTTTTTAAAGGAATGCTCTACCACCAGTGGAACTTAACATTATTTAAAAAAAAAAACATTAATTTTAACATCGGCAGATTTTCTTTTCAGATTTAAGTCATGTTAAAATTAATTATTATTTATATATAATATAAATTTACTGAATATATTATAAACAAAAACTATGTTTATGTTACCTTAAAGCAGTTCTATTGTCAGCATCTACACAATCCACATCACATCCGAATTCCAATAATACTTCAACGACCTGCAAATAAGAAAATACCTCATAATTTCGGTTCCTTTAAACAACTATCTTAGATCTTCAAAAATGTTTGTACATCATTTTCAAATTTATATTCTCATGCTCTATCTAGTTCACCAAAACCTTTACACCATAAACATATTAATTACTTAACTGAACTAACGTTACATATGTAGTTACAAAGATGGTAAAATGATAAACGTTAGTACAATTAAGCACTTAAAAGTAATTTAGCAAGGGAGGTAATAAAATAATAATAAACTTTGGGAAGCAACGAGTACCTCAGTGTGTCCAGCCCAGGCTGCAGCGCGCAGCGGGCTCCAACCATCGGCGTCGGCGGCGCCGGCGGCGGCCCCGGCGCGTAGCAGCGCGGCAGCGGCGCCGGCGCGGCCAGCGCGAGCCGCCGCGTGTAGCGCCGTGCTGCCTGCGCCGTCCACCGCGTTAGCAAGCCCGGGGGCACGCTGCCGACATACAACGACCTTGTTATACATGAATCATATACACTCAGTATACAACTTATAACTTTGTCACGCGACTTTGCCCATGTGAATCAGTATACAAAATCTCAATTTTAGCACATATTTAGAATATAACCTACCCAATTTGTTCAGCCGTTTAAGCGATATTGAGCAACAAACATCCAAACATCATTATAAAATTGTAAATTTTATAATGTTAGTAGAATTAGTTGCACCGACAAGAGGAAACTCTTAAATGAAAAGAGAGAGTAGAATTTCAGCCAACAATAACATAGGCCCATAAATATATACCTTGAAGTCTAAGACACATATTTGAAAATATTTAAAAATAATACCATATTTTTCAAACATGATTTATTCAGACCGGGTTCCAAAAAATACTGTTCTGCAAATTAACACTCTTATTGAGACCCCTCATGTAAATTTTTCTTAAATATCTTTCTTGTACAAACATCGCTTTGTCGGCTCACTAATTTTATTATAACAATTTATAACCAATAGCGATATAATTAGATGTGACGTCGGTGCAACGCTGGTTATACACATATTGCTAAATTTGCAACAGTAGATAATAATTTAAAACAATTTTTCGTTTCAATAAAAAACAAATAGCAGAATTAGGTAGGCAATTTGTAGACTTGCCTTTAATAACGCTATGAGAGTTTCTTCGTCCCCTTTAGCAGCAAGCTCGTGCACCAAGTTCGGGTCCAGCAATTCCGTCTCGTCTTGTTCATCTTCATTTACCTCGTGACTCTCCTCCGTTTCTAACGGCTGGTCAGTATTTAGCTGCATGAAATAATTTTCTTTTTACATAGACAAACAAATAATTTCTTTGAAGTTTCTCAAATGGTCGAAACAAGTCAGAACTCTCCCCTTTTCCTCGAGATGGATTTCCACGAGATAGAATGACAACTTTAAACTTTTTTTAAATCTATGCACCGCCATTTACTCTCTCTCTCTCTCTCTCTCTGTTTAACATAACAGTTGACTGGTAGTAAATGCCATGAGGTGTTAAGTCCGCCCTGTAGACATTTTCTAATGTGTGCAAAAGTATAAATAAATAAACTTTCCAAATATTACAGAAAGTAAATAGATACGGGAGACTCAAAGCCCATTGAACATGGGTCAGAAAGAACGGTCTCTGACCAATGTTAAGCTGTTTTAATTTATCGTCTCCATGTATATCACCAATTTTCAATATTTTTCACTGCATAATTACATTTCTGTTTGTCCATAATTTGACTGGGAGTGAATGCTATATAATAATATTAAGTCCGTCTTTTGTAACAAATACTTTTTTGTAATGTCGATAAAAAATAAATAAACATATAAAGGAACGTAAATGAAGATGACAGCTGTGTTTCAGTTTGGACAGTGGGACATGGCAATGTATTTATAGAAAGAGGCATAATACCTTCGTCCTTAGGAATATACACGCAAAAGTGGTATTTAGGATGTTACAAGATATTCTGCAGGCAAGATAAGACAAAGAGGAAGACCAAGGAATAACTACATGGGACAGATAAAGGAAATACTAGGTGTCATATCGTATAGGGAGATAAAGAATATGGCCTGGGATAGAGCTGACTGGAGGAAGATGCATGAATTAGTTGCACCGACAAGAGGAAACTCTTAATAGAAAAGAAGAAGAAGATATTCTGAACTTGTAGCCTAGCTTAAGAACGCAATTGGCGTGACTGTGTTACTTATTGTTGTTATTCTGCAATGTCAGTGGTGTTGTTCATATCTATAGGCGGCGGTTACCACTTCCATCAGCTGATACATTCACTTCTTATCTCTAGTTAAAAAAAAAAACGTAATCTGAAAAATGGGTGATGTAGACGAGACAGGTACAGGACACAGATACAGGACAGGACATACCAGCGCTCGTATCTCCTCGGCATCACTCTCAGCGGTCACAGAGTCAGATCTACTCAGCTCCAGTAGAGTCCTGAAGACGCGGCGATCCCGCGGCCAGCCCGCCCCGCCCGATCCTGATATGAGCTCGGGCATTATCGTCTCTAAGGTCGACTGATCGCCTGTAACTGGACATCATTTAAATACGTTAATATTAAAAACTACATTTCCATACAACAATGCGCAGAACCTATTTTTAATGTTCCTCAGTACCTTATTGTCATGTTATAAATAAAACATAATTGTGTTCCACGAAAAAACCGACGTCAATGGTGGTAAAATCAAGTATTTTGATTTAAAAATTAAATTACTGAACCGATATTGATAAAATTTTTATGAGACCAAATGTATGAATATTTTTTTTATACATATATAAATGTATGAATATTTAGTGGTGACCGTCGCCTATAGACATGAGCAGTACCATGGACATAACAGAGTATACTGTTTCGCTCGCGATACCCCCCATGCGTTGCCATTCCTGAGGGCTCAGGTATTATTTCTCTGTACCCTGTAAATTCACGCCATATCCCACCCTTCAAACCGAAACACAGCCATGCAAACACAACTGCTTCACGGTTGAAACACGAATGGGACAGAAGTATCCAAGCAATCGACTTTTGTACAAAGTCTCCCTCTGGTATATCCTTTCAGATAAAAAAGAATTTTCCAAATCGGTTTACGACTAAAGGAGTTACAAGATAGCAAACATAAAAAAAAAACAACTTTTTTAAATCGGTTGAAAATAAACTAAGAAAATGAGCGCAATAAAAACATTTCAGTACATTTGAACCTTCAATTTTCATATTTTTTAATAAGTAATTATACTCCCAATCGACGTTCACACTACTTTCCATTCTTATAATATGGAAACTAACAAGCTCCCGTAGGTAAGTAGCAAACGAATCTATTGATAGAATCGTTACCGCTAGCGAATCTATGAGATAGAATGAGATGGCGACGTGCGCTGTCTTGCTCTTTCTCACGCGTGCGCTAACCAGAACGATTCTATCAATAGAATCGATTGTTTAGAGGAATTTAATTCCTTGGATTATTCTAGCATATCCACACTTAGAGTAACTTTAAAATCAAAGAAAACATAGTATTAAAAGTATTGTAAATATATACAAAGATATATTGATTAGTAAGTAATTGATTACATTTGAAAGTACGAGAAGATTTTAGTTCGATCATTACAGGAATTCGTAATTGTCTACCCTATACAATAACATTAGTATTATTTATCCTAACAAAATATAAGATATTGTTTCTGTTATTTAAATAAGCAGATAAGTTATAGATTTGATAAAGATCTGAAAGAAATTTATGTTTCCGACTCCCAAGTGCATTAACCACTTTTTATAATACACGAACATATGAAATCATATCAAATCACAGACAAATATGAACAATTAAATATGTAAAATTATGAACGATATTCAATACTCATCAACTATGGTTCGTAAATAAACTACTCTTCGAGCTACTAGGTTTATTAACCTCGAATTACATAATTTATACCTAATACCGAAGAGTCATTGTAATGTTTTTAGTAAATTAACTGAATCATTGAATTCGTAGATTAAGACGTCATTGAACGTAAAAACCTTAAGCCAGAAAACAGAATAATATATTCATTTGAACAAAACTGTTTTCTTATAAAAGGCGAAAACAACAAGTATTTCAATACCCTTTCAATTTCGACCCTATTCAGTTTTGATCTTGTTAACTTGAAGTCTCATTTAGGATCATATTAGTAATAGGGTAGTTCAATTTTGAATAGGACTTCAATCGAATGACTTCTCAAATCCGAAGATAACTGTTTTGTTTGTTTTATACAACTTAGAATGGCAAACAAGCTAACGCCCACCTGATGGAAAGTGGTAACCGTTGCCTATAGACATGAGCAAGTACCATGGACATAACATATACTGTTTTGCCCATGATACCTCCCATGCGTTGCCATTCCTGAGGACTCAGGTGTTATTCCTCTGTACCCAGTAAATTCACGGCATATCCCACCCTTCAAACCGAAACACAGTCATGCAAACACAACTGCTTCACGGTTGAAATACGAATGGGACAGAGGTATCCAAGCAATCGACTTTTGTACAAAGTCTCCCTCTGGTAAACTCGTATATACAGGAACATCATCGATACCCCAGTCAACGTGTCATTAAATATAAAACAAAATCAATAGTGCTGATAACCGTTCATTGTTTAATCAAATGTTTTATAATAAAAGGGGCATGTTGCATGTAAATAACTTTGATTGTTTACAAATGATTTATGTAAAAATTATGAATACATTATGTATATCAGTGTCTGATATTTAGTTTCGCCATCTAATATGTGTATAGCTATTTGTTATTGTAATTCAAACTTACCTTTAGCGAACTGTTCACTACTTCCTAGGTTTACACGCGTGATGAATGTGTAAAATATTTTAATATATATTGTTTAACTTTTAAACCAATTTCATAATGACAACCTGATAATTTTCAATGAATAATCTGTATAAGTACTATAAGAGTACTGCACTAATTATATTTAAACACTTTCATTCATGACTAATTAATTCTAATTATAAAAGGTCATTTTTCAATTAACATTTGTTTAATTAAAAGAACACATTACCACACCGTACGACAAATTGATGGCAACTACTGAATAATTACTGGGACAGGGACAATTCTGCATATTTTCCTACTACTAATTAAACATCAAACATAAACCATACAATGATAAAATTAAAGTACAATATTTAATAACTAAAAACACAGGAAGAGATAAAGAAATTATTTGTAATTGTATTCATTGAAAATAATGAGAAACAGTAGGTCAGTTACATGGAGATAAACTGATTAGTTCAATAGAAATGCTTTAGATAAAAACCAAATTAGTTATACATTGTTGTGAACGTGCTACTACACACGACTGTGACAGAGAAGCGGATAAGAAAGTAGAGTAGAATAGCTCAAGAGAGCTATTTAGTTAGCAGCTAAAATAATATTTGTTTAGTGATTGTTTCCCTAATTAATTAAATTCCCTGATTTTAAGAAATTGACTTTATATTATGTAAATATACACTTTGATGCTGGATATAAGAAAGACAAATCCGTCCCCCTAGACAAAATACAAACGAATCTATTGATGAATCAGTCTGAGCTCGCGTGAGAAAGAACAAGACAGCTCATGTCGTCTCATGGGCTAGCTAGACACGATTCTATGAATAGGTTTATTTGTATTTTGTCTAGGAACGAAAACCCCAAGACAAATTCCCAACGACAGCAGCACCATCATTAGTGGACCTTTTTTTTAAAAGGATTATAATGGGACGATAACGGGAAAGGGATTGTTAGTATTGGGGTCAAATAGCCCCATTACTAGCAATATACCTTGTCAGGTCGACCTCCATGCATGGTTCCCCCTGGAAACCATCGTAACTAATACTAGTAGAATTCGTCAGGATGGGCTAACTGATCTGTTTTCATCTTCATCAGTCATCTATCACTGGTGCCCCGCCATTGTATACCGATAGCGCAAACGGGGTTACCATACCATTATTACCCATTAAAAAAACCGCCTGCGCTAACGGTATACGCCGTCGGGACACCAGTAAGGGATGATAGATGAGGTAGAAATGGCAGGTCAGTTACCCATCATTATGATTTTACTTGGAATTGAATACGATGGTTTCCAGGGGGGAAACGCGAAGAGGTCAACCTGACATTACTACCAAACCTGTATTGCTACCAAAGGGGTTACTAATCACAATCATTAATAATCCCTTCTCCCCAAGTGGACGTTGGAATTGTTCATGGTGAGGTAACGTAGCACTATGGCTGGTCCGAGGAAGATATACAAGATAGCAGGCAGTGAAAATTTTATATAATTATTATTATAAAAAGCTTGGTTATTGAAGATTAACTATTATGAACTATACTAGGACCAGAATACCCCCTGCTTTTATGCATAATATTTAATACGGCTAACAATATGTAGTTAAAGGAATATTGCATCGGTGACAGTAGTTTGAAATATCCAATCCAAACAATAAATAAAAAAAGTAATAAATAAATAAATGAATGTTCTAAATGAGACACTAATAGAGGCAAATAGGGCGAAATTTATATTTATACAAATGTATCTATAACCATTTGTATAAATATAAATATAAGACTATTCTTACAACTTTATATAGGCAGAGATAACTTATATAAAGTTTTTCCTGTGGTGTCTACTACTTGCATCATATAAATAATTATAAACAAGGACAACAGATATATAAACGTTTCCATATAAATATATCAACTACCTATAAATATTTTCCATACAAAATTACCATAGGGCAAATCCATTGTACTCTACATTCGACTCGTGTAAGCTGTATAGGTATTATAATATATGTATGCACATAAATAAATAAATTTATATCAATGTTTCTACTAATACTAGGTATTCTTGTAAGAATTGACACATTTATTTATTTAATACTTTATTGCACCAATATTACAGGACTTGTTGAAGAATTTTCAATAACACTGTTTTTTAATGACATGTTTATTATATACATTATATGGTTTTAGATATTTAAATTATTTTAACCCTCTCAATTTTATGTTTTTTTTTTTTTTATTAAATATACATCCATGAGAGACTACAAAAGGCATACATTATTTTTGTTCATTATAACAAAAATAAATAGAAATGTGATTAGCGTGACGTCACAATTGGCGCCATGATACTTGCTAGCGTTTTGATACGAAATTGAAATTTGATAATTATAATGCAAAAATTTGCTATAAATATTTATGTTTAAATAAAAATAAGATTATTTTTAACAATAGTAGACACGTAAATATTAATATAAAATTATTGCAAATTTCAATATTTTCCGACCATATTACAAAGTAACAGTAACTATCTCATGATGTAACCCTACCCAGGCGACCATATCTAATGCAACAATATAATATTACAATTATAATAATACAATATGCTTTTTATGCCATGGACTGACCTTATTCTTGCATTGACGTAAATACAGTCAGGCAGTCTGCAAAACATTGTATGCTTATTGTTGTATATTACTAACAAGTATCTTAGTGTATAAATAATGTTTAACTGTTTTTAATTCTGATCCGCTTGATATATTTTTTTTTATTTATTTATTTATCAAAAAGTTTATTCCCATATTCAGTTCATGCAAATTTAGTCGAATTTGTATAAACAAATATATTAGTATTTAAATTGGGTTTTCAAAATTCCAAATTATATCACAAGAATTTGCCATATAACGCCAAATAAAAAGCAATATGGCTACGGTAACAGTTTACCATCAGATGGGCCGTATGCTTGTTACCACTTACAAAAATAACAATAATAATGGTTGTACCTGACAATGATTCTTTCCCTTCAGAGTCGGCATCAGCTTCTTTCTCTTCGGATTTGCCATCATCTTTCTGTAAAAAAAAAAACATATTACAGCAAAAAAAAAGTAATAAACTGATATTTATGCTGGTAACATCAGTAATATAACAATAGACCTAAAATTATGTAGCCGACGATGTCTCTAACTAGTATGTTTCATTAGAAGTTAATGAAAAAATATCCAAGTTTTGTAGAAATTATCACAGAAATGTGAAATTGTAACAAATCGATTAATCGATTTTTTATGTATGTTTTCATTGCCACATCAGCAGAATATCTTATGGACAGATTATTATTACAGGACAAATAATTAATTACGCACGACCACTCTTTGGAATCAACTACCAATACGACATTACAACCTTCAAGAAAAGAGCATATTCCTTTTTAAAAAGCTGACAGCACACCTGCATTGCCTCTAGTTTTACATATACTCTTGGGCGGCGGTAGTCACTTACCATCAGGTGAACCGAATGCTCGTTTGCCCCCTGTGTTATAAAGGCAGTCAATTATTCGCTTAATTACATTTTTGTTAAGTTCTATTGGAACAGCGAATACTTTCGTGACAAAATACCTGCGCTTCAAAGGCTTCCAATTGCTTGATAGTGTCGCTCTCCCTCTTGAGCGCGGCCTCCACGTCACAACCCGAGTCCAGAACCCACAACAGGAACAGCGTGTGAAGATCTACCGTTTCATCCGATTGGTCGCTGTGCCAAAAATATTAGATTTTAATTAACTTACTGGTACAGACACCATGTGTGTCCCGGCATAGAATAGGCCATATTACATATTCCTTTCTCGTGAGTGTCGTAAGAGGCGACTAAGGGAACTTAATCATCGAGGGATTGGCAGCAACGTCCCTCTTAAAATTTCTCTTTATTTCTCTGTACTTATTGTTATACATGTATCAATATATGCTGTGTTTGCCTATAAAAAATTGTTACACTTAGTTCTAAGCTCCATAATTGTATATATATTTACATTATTTTGTGGAAACAATTGTTGGTAAACCTAAATAAATAAATAAAACATCTCTAAAACCCTAACTGCGATGTCAACCCACCTGCCAAGCGTGGTGACTACTGGAAAAACTCCCCTAATGGAGAAAACTTACGTTCAGCAGTTGACAGTTAACAGCTGAAATAATAACAATAATAACTGGTGCAAATTGTATTATAGATATAATTATCTAAACTTACTTATTTTTGCTTTTCTTCTGAGTCATCAAATGCTGCTCTAGGTTTGTCATGTGGAAGATGTAGTTGTGTATTTCGAGCGCGCTCAACCTATAAATAAGTATAAATGAAAAATTAGAAACATAAACATATCATTGATTTAAAGGACAAATAGTAGGTTACAATTACTCAATCACGTTTAAAACACCACATGGTTTAAACTTTAATATTCTGAGATTTGGATTATGTTCTCTTTAGTTATATGCTCTGAGACAACACTTCTATTTTGACAATGGTATTTCCGATTCGTTCTTCAAAAGTTTATTAATATACCTATTAAAAAAAAATTACTAAATTGTATTATATTGTAAAATCTTTATCGTACATAATTTACATTGGACACTTCAAAAGTTTTAATATACAATGGCCGACTTATCCCATAGAGGGATCTCTTACAGTCAACCTTGTTTATATAATAGAAACATGCGACGCGATAAGGTGGTGTCACAAGTGTTTTTATGGTACAATGGCCGCATAATATAAGGCGGATGCATATATACCTTGCATTAAATAAAAAAAAAAACGTACCTTTTAGCATCAAGTGTGTAGTACATAGCGAGGGCGGCGTGTCCATCTGCGGGGCAGCACAAGTATCTGCGTGTACAGTGCTTCACGTCAACCAGCCACTTGGCGAATGAATGGTGAAAGATGGACAGATATCCCGTACTCCGCTCCATCACCAGGATCCTGATGATAATGGTAATTAATTAATAGATTATTATATTCTGCTGAACATAGACTACCTTAAAAAATACAATTACTAACTAACTAATAGACTAAAATTTTAATTATTATTGTAAGACAGATAAATGCTCAAAGCATCAAAAATGAAAAACGCTAAAGAGTGGTGGACAATTTTTTTTTTTGCATGTTACAGCAAAATCAAACAAAGATAGACTCTAGTTTGTGATAAATGTTCTTTGAACAAGTTAAAAAGTTATTATATGTGTAATTATCGTACAATACCTTCTAAGCAGATGTAACCGTCTGTTGAAATCTTCTCTTGTAACGCTATACTCTTTAGTCAGTAAACACTTATATAGCATTTCTTCTGTAACACCACAACGGGCTGCCAGTAGCACATCCAGTAATAGGCGGACCTGGAACAAACCATTTTAAGTACATTTCGCTGATCTTATTTGTATTACAATCTATATAGTAGTTTTAACATGACACAAATATTTTCTAAAATAATTTTCAAAATAGAAGACACGACTCACTTAAATCTCTCAAGCAGAGTGAGAGGCATAAATAAAATACTAGAATAAAAAAATTACGTAAAAATTAAATAAGGAATGACAACACTTACATTGCAAATAATAAAGACATGGATAATAAGTGACCGATGTTTGATGACTTTATCTTATACACAATAAAAAAAAGGTATCAAAAATGTGTGACTAGAAGCGTAACGTAATCTCTAACTAAACGTACGGTTGTTGACGCATGACGTCTATCATGTGATAATACCACGGATACCTTAGTGAATCGTCTGCCGTGGAAGAGTCTCTGCGCGAGCCAGAGGTATAGCCCGTTGAGTGTACCGGGGATCTCTCGGATCTCACGGAGAGCGATGAACCCGTCCGCGACGCCGTCCAATACCTGCCAGAGAAATATACATGCCCTTTTTGTAATCTTTTGGAAGAAACAATAAATAGTAACTATCTTTCTATCCTCGATACGCCATACATAAACCGCCGAACTAAATTCTATGAATTTTTGTGAATTATGTAGAGCTTGAAAGATAGGATAGTTGATAGGTACATAGATGGACCCTAAAAGCGAAGTTGTTGTTGAAACCCTACGAAGCCAGAGCGAATCGATAGTAAACTTAAAACAATGATTACTATTCAATGTACTATTTGTCCAAAGTGTGACATAAACATAAGGTATTATGAAAAAGAAATAACATTATTAAACAAATAATATGGGTAGTTCTATATGCGTCACATCACTGGCAATTCACCCAGTTAATAATATACAACTATGTACGCTACAGCTATGATTTTCAGCGGGATTTTATACTAATGGATGTAATAATGGTGATCGATATATATCCCGCTATAATAAATTATAGACATAATAGTCAAATATGTATTAATTCTATCTCATTCCTTTTCTAATCCTTTACCTTTTCTAGATAGAGTAGACATCCGTCGCTCTTGATACGCAGATGGTCAAGTGCGGCCGCAGCCGCCGCTGCCGCCGCTGAGTCACTCGATACGCGGGCACTAATCATACACAATCAAGCAACATATACAATCAATCAAAATGTAGTTCAAATACAATAATGTTGATTATATTAACCAAAATTATTATAGAACAATAATTTAATAACAGATTTTAAGAAATTGTCTGGTCTTTTTTGTGTTATGAAAAAAAAAACAAACAAGTTATAATCCTTGTGAACTCAGAACGGCCAAACCTCAAATAATTAGAAAATTCCAAAAATGAAATTTAACTCTTTAAGCCTCAAAGATAAATTTTATTTCTGAAACTCAACATATATTTATTTCTACTCTCCACTACGTTCTTTAATTAAAAACATAACAACCATAAACTCTATTTAAACATATTTATTATACAAATAGTTGTTATAATTGTAACCGTCTATAATGGATTATAGACGGTTACAATTATATAATTATCCATATAAATGATTCGAGAAAAGCGGGTCAACTTTATCATACAATTTTGCGTGATAAATAGTTATGAGTAATTCTTTTATAACTTCTATATTAGTCTTATAGATTCTGCACATTTTTATATTAAAATAATTCATTATAGATACGTCAAGATACATTGTGTACAGAAAACTGATAAAAAAAACGAGGTAGCTAATTTGATAATTAGCTGACATAAAGTTGATCGGTTTTTGAGGCTCAATACTCTAACATAAACTAAGAATGTAATGTATGCATATATAATACGTACCGCAGGCGGTGCTCGGCGTCGAGGCGCGCGAGCACGTACCGTTGCACGTCGGCCGCTACATGCGCACGCTGCAGTTCGTCGAGGGAGATCTTACGGAACCCTGCATCGTACATTGGTTGTTTTATATGGACTCTTCGTGCAAAGACCCATAATAGATTAATTCATAAAAAATGTACATATTTATAAAGGATCTAGAATACAGCCCAGCAGAACACCTGATTGAAATCAGCAAAAACAAGTTTGTTAAAAAGGTAATTTTTATATATTTATACCATTACCACGTTACAAATTATTACATATACTAATAATGTATAAAACAGCTTATCTACCATGAACATGCAGTCCTACAATACCCTCCATCACCCTTTGATAATAACACACATCTAGAATTCTAGATAATAAAAGAGATTAAACTGAAATAATAATTTCATTATTACCATCTTTACTTGGTTACAAACTACATTGTAATAATGTCTACGTTCAATTCACCTCACCTGTAAACATGCCAGTAAAGGTCCTAGAGTGTCTCCTAGCAGTACACACCAAAAGTAACCATTGTGGGAATAGATGTTGATGACGAGCTAATAACGCCGCAACGGTGCTAGCACCTTCGCCTTCGCGATCCTCTGGGGGTTGACCTTAATAAAAAAACGTTATTACAAGTAAATGCAAAATAAATGTAATTCTAAAAGTAGGTAGAATTATAGGAAGCGTTTTACCTCAGTTTGAATGAGGCAAATACTTAAAAAGCAACTTGACATGAAATCAGGAATTGTAAATTAAACAAAACTATATTTACCATTAGCATTTCCTTCGTCAATAGCATCCACAAGCAAGAACAAACATTGCTTTGGCGGATCTATTTCTAACAATGGGAACAGCAACGCCTTTTTAAAGCATTCATCAGGGTTCTTCTCCAAATTGTGAGGCAATAATGCCTGTTGGATCTCAGGTTCTGATAATAGCTTATCATAATATGCATTTGCTATTAAAGTCCTGGGGCTTATAGGTAGACTAGGTATGGGTGGAGGAACATCATCGTTTTGAGACCTCTTCTTTTCCAATAACACTTCCAACTCATGAGTCTGGTTATCTTGAATAGGTGATGAATTAGGCTTAACAATATTCTGGTATTCTGGTAATTCTTCTTCCTTTCTTTCTTCTTTATCGGTCTTTTTCGGAGAATTTTCTGCTGAACGCAAATCACTTTTATTAGGGTACCGGAAGTTAGCAACTGGGATCCGTGATTTTGGAGGGCTATTCTCTATCTTGGGTTTATCAGTTTCGCTTGCACTATCATTCTTCTGTTCTGTTGACAGACTTTTCTGTAATACGACTTGTTTCTTCTCCGTCAATGGCTCAGAGCTTTGGCGCAATAGTCTAGAATTTCTTAACTCTTTAGACTGTCGTTGTGAAATATTCCGTAGGAATAAATTTTCGTGATTTTCATACGTGCGGAAGTCTGGGTCTTTTTCGTCGTTTACGAATGGGTTGGTTGGTTTTACGCTTGCACGAGGTAGGATTTCGGGTACCTATAATTAAAAAAAAATTTTTACATCAACACATCATATCGCATTGAATTACACTAAATACACCAGATGCAAAATTTTTATGTGATTCGACTGGGTAGATTATAGTCTTACCTACCTGTCAGCCATGAAACAGGAATGACTGCATTGTTGTATTTTATTATGGTAAGAAAGGCCGCCTGTCAAATGTGGCAACTACCGGCAACCCCCCCCCCCCCCCCAAGGGGAAGGCTTATGTTTAGCAGTAGACAGTTAAAGGCTGATATGATGAAAAAAGGCATATTATATGGTAATTACGAGAATCCTCTCATATTAATACCATAATAATTTATGAGATAAAAATTACTCAAATCTGTTCAAATGTTATCACAACAACATACAATATTAGTACATTCATCTGAGAATATACTCATTTTTAAATCTCCTTCAAAAACATGCAAAAATTATTTACCAAATGAGACAAAAATAAAGTACAGTCCTGACCTCGTCAGCGCGACTGAGCTGTGCGTCAGCGAGCGAGTCTCTATAGGCGGCGCGCTCGTGCAAACGGTCAATAGTGCGGCGGCGGCGCCCGCTGCCACCGTCCTCCTCGTCTGTACGTTGATCTTTCAATTATAATACAATTATTCTGATTACCACAGATAATAAGACTTATTATAAAAAAAAATTCATACTTTTATTTCATAAGAAAAAAATATAGCCCGTAGCTAGTAGTAAAAGACAAAACAACATGTTAGTTTAGGTATTAATTGATAAATAAATTGTCATATATAAATAAATCATGTCATCAAGGTTGATATTTACATTTTTGTTATAACCTATATTAAAAGTGAATGTACAAAAGCATAAAAATAAATAAATCATTAATTTTGTAGATATAACATCTTGGTCTTAAGAAATAACAGCGCATGAAGTAACCTGGTTGTCACAGCGTATTCTCTGTGGCTGGGTAAACTTAAAACTAATAAATTTATAACTGCATATGTTTTTTTAATAACCATTTGTATTTTTAATAACCAGAGTAGTAAAGAAATTATTTTTTATATCATGTTCTAATCACCTTCACTATCAGCAAGCAGGGGTTTGGAGCTCTCCTCGGCGTCGTCTCCGAGTCCTCGGAAACGGCTGACTAGATTCTCCTCTTCAGAATTACGCCTGAAAACACATTCAAGACATTGAAGTACATAGAACAAAAATTGTATTACCCTATCTATAAAATCCTGAAATATTGAAAATATTCTATTTTATCTAAATTCTAATATTTTTAGAGATTCTTGCTAACAATGGCAGTCACGATCATCTATTAAAAAAGTGCTTCTTAATTGTGTTTTGGAAAATTTAATGGGTCACCTTCATTTTTTTGGGTTTATTTTTAATTTCACAAACATGTTTACGTTAATAAGTAATCCTTTTAATCTAATCTTTTGCAGAATGTTTCATCCCACTGTCAACATCATATCAGTCGTTAACTGACCACTATTGAACAGACCTCCTCCAGAAGGAGTTTTGCCAATAGTTGCCATGAATGGCAACCGAGTTGGCAACCGCAATTATTCACTTTTGGTGATGTTTTGCGAAGGATGTTGCTGTCCATCCTTCGACCATTAAATTCCCTTATTCATCTCTTAAGACATCCACGAGAAAGGAAGGGGTGGGTAGGTGACCCATTCTATGTCGAAACCACACAAAAACCAGGAGGCTTTGTACAACCTCTGTCCCATTCATGTTTCTACTGTGAAGTAGTAACGTTTGCATGGCTGTGTTTCAGTTTGACGAGTGGGATATGGCAATGAATTTACAGTATACAGAAGAATAACACCTAAGTCCTCAGGAATGGCAACACATGGGGGGTATCATGGGCGAAACAGTATACTCAGTCCTACTCATGTCTATAGGTGACGATTACCACTTTCCATCAGGTGAGCTGCCAACCTGTTTGCCATTCTATGTTGCATAAAAAAACTCACTGTATGATAGGTATATTGATGTGTGGTCAGGACACTTGTACCTGTTAGTTTGCGAGTCGGATTGCTGTTCGGACTGTGCCTCTTGCTCGTTAGCCGTGCGCGCTCGCCGCGACGAGTGACTCAGTATCTGCATAGCGAGCGAGCGGACGAACTCGCTCGGTCGTAGGCTGCTGTCGTTGTGGCCCTATAAATTTATTTATTACTTATACTGTATTGTACACACTAGTAATAAATACGGAAATATAACAGTTTAAAACAAATGTACAAATGCGAGCTTAAGTCTACAAGATATCTCTCTTGCAGTAAATCCAAAATGGAAAGGAAAATCAATGTCAGCGGGTAGAATGGTGTACAATGCACACATATAAACACACATACTTATATATAAATGAAATATGTTAAAAAGGCTAGAAAACTGTTGATTTGGGACTACAATGTAGTATTTTGGTTTTTACTTTTTTATGTAACATGGAATGTCAAAGGATCTGACAGCCCATCTGATGAAAATCGGTAACCGTCCCCTATAGAATAACACCATAAACATCACAGAATATACTGCGACGCCCATGGTTTCTCTTATATTTTACTATTCCATTTTCAATAAATCTCATACCTATCAGTATAATGCTAATAATAATAAGTATGAAGTCCCTATACTATTATTTTTTTATGAAATTCAATAACTTCAAGTAGTAAATGTGATTAATGTACTATTATTTTCAATTTGACTAAAGTTAACTATTGTTACACTACATTTTACAATAATGTAAGCGACGAGTAAAACATAAATAATCAAAAATTGTGTCCCACAGGAAGAAAATCAACTTTCAGTTGTCACAAATCCCAATATTTTGATTTAAAACTAAACTTTTGAATCGACTCTGATAAAATTTCTATGGTACAAATCTGTAAATATATCCTTTTAGACAAAAAAGGAATTATGAAGTAACAAACCTAAAAAAACTGAATTGTTAACCTCCTTCTTGGTGAAGTTAAAAAATAGTGATTTCACAAAATTATTTTTTATGTAATTATACAATATTATTAACTTTAAAACATTTTTTTTAAATATGCAATATTGAGTTAAAAAGTTACTTCATCGAAACAATTGGCAGTTTCGCTTGCATTCGTCTACCTGCTATAGAAAATAAATTAAAAAAAATCTTGCTTTCATGTAATTCATTATTCATTTTGTTTGTGTGTATATTGTTAATCTTTATAATCTGTAAAATTTCTTTGAAGGGAACAAAAGAGAAAAAAGACTTTTTCATTTATTCAGATGTGTATCGACATCCATAATCACCTGTAAGAAATGCCTGGCAAGCAGTCGTCTGTTCAGTGCTCTCTGCTGCCTCGCCTGAGGACCCTGGCCTGGCTCGCTCAGTTCTTGGCATAAAGCTGTTTTACCGCTGCCCGCGTCCCCTACAAATATATAAAACTAAATTGAATTCTTTATCATCATTATCAGCTGTTATTATATATATATTCTTTATTGCACAAAAACATACAGTAACAACAATAAGTTAATAACAATGTTAGCAAAGGCGAACTTATCTCTAAAAGAGATTTCTTCCAGTCAACCTAACGCAGTGGCATAGGAAGTAGTGAGTGGGCAGTAGTAGTGCAAGACAGAAATTTAAATAAATATTTACATAAATTATAAATAATTATATATATACACACATGCATTCACATATATACATACATACACATACACATATATATACATATACACATACATATACACACATACATACACACGTTAAATACAACATATAAATATCAGATACAAGAGAACACAATGATGACAGTCTTCTAATCATTTTTATATTTAAATTAAATTGGAAAGATAAAATGATTTTAATCTTTTTTGAAGGAACTGCTAGACGGGCTATTCTGAATATTCACGGGAAGTTTATTCCACAGCTGTACAGCACGATATGCAAATGAGTTACCCATAAAATGGGTTTTACAGCTGGGAAGCTTCAGTACCCTGGACTGGTTCAGACAAAGACGTCTAGGTCTGGAAGGAGGAGGTAATAATTGGAACCGGGAACGAAGGTAGGAAGGAGAATTGGGATTATTAAGGATATTATAAAGGACCGCTAGGACATGTGTCTCATGACGAAGTCTAATTGGGAGCCACTTTAAACGAGTGCGGTATTCCGAGACATGATCATATTTTCGTAAGCTGAAAATAAACCTTATCGCTAAATTTTGCAACCGCTCAAGCTTATTTAGCAGCTCCTCGGTCACATCTAAGAAACAGACATCGGCATAATCCAGAATGGGAAGAAGAATAGATTGTGCAAGCATAATTTTGGTATTGAAAGGGAGAAAGTATTGGAGACGTTTGAGAGAATGATATGAAAAGTACATCCGTCTACTAATGTCATTAATATGAGAGGTCCACGACAATGTACTATCCATAATAAGTCCTAAGTTTTTCACTTTATCAGTATAAGATATCTTAGTACCCTCGTATACCAATGGAGGAATCTGAGACCATTCCAACTTACACCTCAGCCTGCCACTACCGACAATCATAGCTTGAGATTTGGCTGGATTAACAATAAGACCAAACGATTTAGCCCAGGAGTGAATAGCCAGTAGATCATCGTTTAGAGCTGAAGTTGCCTGTGTAACCTCAGACAGCATAAAGTGACGATACAACTGCAGATCATCCGCATTCAGATGGAAGGGAGAAGTAATGACTCGAGAAATATTATTAATAAAGATAGAAAATAATAAAGGGGAAAGTACACCGCCTTGAGGCACGCCAGCAGTTAATGAAGCCCAGTTCGATAAACCATCATTGGTTCTAACACACTGCTGGCGGCCGAAAAGAAAAGAAGAGAACCATTCGATAACTGGAGTGGAAACGTTGACTGCACGAAGGGTGCTAAGGAGAACATCAAAATCAACCGAATTGAAAGCATTACTGAAATCCAACAAAACAATTGCAGTCAATTTTGTGCTATCCATAGCCCGACGTATGTCCTCTGTAATATTAAGAAGCGCTCCAGTAGTGCTATGAGAGGGTCGGAAGCCCGATTGAAAGGGGCATAAAAGGTTGTTGGTGGAAAGAAATTTAAATAATTGGCTGTGAACTATAGATTCTAAAACTTTTGAAAGAATGGGAAGAATAGATATGGGACGGTACTGGGAAAAGCTAGTCGGATTAGTAGATTTAGGAAGTGGTATGACGTAAGCCTTTTTCCATTGTGATGGGAAGACATTATGCATGAGAGAAAAGTTAATTATGTGAGTGAGCACAGGCAAAATAACATCCAACACGGGAAGGATCATATCAAGGCTCACATTATCGCTACCGATAGCTTTAGTAGATAATGAACGAATGGTTCTCTTGACAACATCTACAGTCACCAAGCTAAAAGTGAATGGAGGACAATCGGGTGGGACAAGATTAGAAAGATATGATATAGTATTTGCCTGTCACAGTACTGAGTGTAACAGAGGAGGACGAAAAATGATTATTTAGAGCATTGAGATCTAAACCGCTCTGACAATTTTCTGAGGACTTACCCACCCCCAGTGATTGGAGAAATTTCCAGATTTGGGTCTGAGAAAGGTTTTGAATAGTAGAATGAATGTATCGGCGTTTGGCATCCCTACACATTCTGTTACAGATGTTCCGCAGTTTTTTATACGTGTCAAAGTTTACTTGTGATCTCTCATGTTTATATCTGCTTTTGGCCCTGTCACGCTTTGCCATACTTCTCTTAATAATAGGGGTAAGCCAAGGAGCAGGAGCATGCTTGATACGTACCGGTCGGACTGGTGCATGAATGTTGTAAATTTTAAGCAACTCGCTGTTCAATATCCCCACCATGGTGTCGATACAAGAAGCCAACAACAAGGGAGACCAATCAATACTCCCCATATCCTCCCTCAAACGCTCAACATCCATATGCTTAAAATCGCGAAGTAAATGAGTCCTATTCCTGTTTTTAGGGGGACGCACTTTATAGGACAAATAAATTAAATCATGCTGTGAGAAAGGAGAACACATTTGTCCATGGGAGAATACTAAATTTGGTTGTGAAACTATGATTAAGTCAATAAGGGAAGGTCTGCTGTTGTGGAAGTAATGAGTAGGTTTAGGCATAGGCAAGACCTGGAGATCAAGGGTTGATGTTAAAGCAATAAGGTCTCAGAAACTAAGATACAATCCACTAAGCCAGCACTATATATATTATTAATATTAAATTACAATTTTATTCTTAAAAAATTTGTAAGGACACAATATTTTATATTAGCTGTATCCCACCTCCTTGCCTGCGTATCAATCCATGAATCCTAGGTTCTAAGTTAATATAGAAGCTACCCATGTTCAAAATTTCATTCAAACCCATTTAAGCGCGTTATAAATCATACAAATGACCTGGGTGGAGAACCACTCTCAGCACAACAATCAAGGCTGAGACGATGGCTTGTATTTAACCTTGACACTAGAGCCTGAAGACCTTTACAAAATCATTCTACGAGAGCTGTCAGTGGACTGCTCCTCAAAACGCTAATTTTTACACAAGACTATCTGAATATGGCTGTTATGAAAGAGCCGATTGCAAATAACAAGAGACAAAACAAAAAAAAATACATTTAGTACCTTTTACGTGCGAGTTACAGACATTCATTCATCATTCATGCTTCAAACTTTAGCATGTATAATATTAATGGAATGTAATAAAAGTCATACTCATGCTTGCGTCAAAACTACTCATGACTAAGGGTCCCGGACAGTCAAGCATTATAGACAAATATACAGGTAATTTAATTTGATTATTTTTACAAAATATTATACAATATTCAAACTTAGTAATTTACTAAAATCTTACTAATATAATAAAATTCTAACTAGACGATGTCTGTATATGAGATATTAAAGAAAAATGTATATGCGGTCTTAATAAGACCGTCTATTGGGCCAAAACTATATTTTTTCGAAATTTTATCTGTCTGTCTATATATTTGTTCCGGCATCACGCAAAAAGTACTACTGCTACAGTAACTATTTATCATTAGACGACTGTATGCTTATTTGTTATCTTTGTGGTATAAAATAACAAAATGGGATACGTTTTGCAGTTTTATTTCTGAAGATTTTGCTTAAGATCAAAAGGTATAACTTTCATCTTGTCACGCCATCTAGAAGTGATTTTATTGGTTTTCCTACTTCTAATATCCACTAGTACGAAGTAGCGGGCAAGAAGCAAGTAATTACTAAAATTGTTCTAGTCTAATAAAAAAGAAGTTTATCCAACTTACCCAAAATAAGAGCTCCACAAGTCTTGCTAACGGGTCTCTGCTCCAAGCAATGAGCTATCTTCTGGAATGCCCACTCGCGACAGTAGAATCTTCTCTTATCGGTCGAAATTGACGTCTCGCTCACTCTGTGCGCAGAGGAAGATTTGCGAACGGGACGTGTTGGTTCCTTTTCATGGGTCCTTGGCGCTATAGGGCTCAATGGTGTGCCTAATAAAATAATTAAAAAGCAAATCAAAAACACGATCATTTGTGTTTCTATCATTAATTATGAATCTATGATTAGTTTATACTAACTACTAATATTATAGTAAAAAATTTATATTAACCATCGAAATCATAGTTATCTCTCTCCCTATCTCTATCTCTGTCCTTGTCCCTGTCCCTGTCTCTTTCTCTCTCACGGCGATGTTCTCTCGTGCTTTCTCGCTCGGGGAAGCCTCGATGTCGCTCTGTTGGAGTTCGATCGTGACTTCGTGGTGTTGCCACATCGTTTAATGGTAGAGATCTAGAAATAAAAAAATATCATAGTCATGTTAGTATTAAATATAGTAACAATAAATTATAAATTGAACTATGTTTTTTATACTAACAAGCCTTTTTCACGTCCATTTTAAAAAATTAAATGGAAATAACAATTGTTAAGAATCTTGACAAGACGCTCATACCATAACCTGTTTTTTCTTATGTCCGTAAATTTTTAATTTATGGACATAAGAAAACAACGGGCAACAAACAGAAAGAAGGAGAAAATGATTCATTCATTTGTGTGAATACGTTGCTGTTTAAAGTTTATAAGGTGTCTAAATAGCTTACCGAAGGTTAACTCTGTGTTCCGCTTGTCGTACAGCCGAATGTCTGTGTTGTTGTTGCCTCATACTGACTTGATTCTGCCTCAAATATGCCTCGACTTTACTCTCGCTCGCCTCGTTCCTATTTTGGGTTCTCCTCGCTCTGCTTGTCTCGTCTCTCGATCGCTTAGATTCTTTTTTCTCTGTCCTCTCTACCTTCTCTATGGGTGTCATCATTTGAAAATTCCCACCGTTATTGTAATTTAGTGGATCGAAGTCTGTACGCGCCAAATTTTGCGCGCGATTCGAAGATGTCTTCGAATTCTTCGCGCGATATTGTGATTTTGGTACTATTTGACTATAAATTGGCATTTCGTTCGACATCTTAGACTAGCTTTGGTTAGACAAAAATATATTTTGAGTTTTAACTTTTTTAGAGGTAGAGTAACCTAACTTGTTGTTTTTTTTTCTATTTATTTTTAACACGAAAATGGCTTTGGTTTTGAGTTAATTGACACTATAACTAGAGGAACCCGGGAAAGTGATATCTGCGATTTATATAATAATATTAATATTTTATAATAAAATAGGCCTTATGTATACGTAGATGCGGCGATGTATCACAAAATAAATTATCTCAATGAGATTCAGGTCATTTTATGAGTGTGACCTCTATCAATCCTCGAATCTGTTCATCGACGCTTCCATATTTTCTCCGAAGACGCCATGACGTTGGCTGACGGTGTGATATCTGTAACAAGTAATAAGACACATTTAATATTTTAATCAAATATAAAAAAAAAGAATATATACAACTTCAAATACAAACAGCAACACAACAGTTCGTAACAAAATAATTTCGTCTTTGCCGCGTGAATAAATTATTCTTCGCACTCATTTAGAATATGATTCATCTGTGTAATAAAATTCATTCAAATACAGAAAGCCGAAAAGTTAATAATATATGTGAATTAAATAGGTTTGAAATACAATCTAAAAATAGTACAAAGTACAGTATCATTATACGTATCAAAACCCCTTATTTTAAGTTTCCAACAGCCTACGTGGAGGGTGCAGATGATAGAAAGGAAGCCTTTGAATTCAACCCCATTTGCAAAGTTTGAAAAACTTAAAGCCGACAAAAGATCAGCCTCATCAAGCTACCACTAAAAACCGTAAAAAGTTTTTAAAGAAATTTTAACATTCTAGATAAAATTGTAATATCAGTCTTTTTATCCTTTGAATTTAAATAATACAGTGAAATTTTAGACGAGATTACGCTTCATAATCATTATATTCGAAATGTTCCAATAATCATGGAATTCTTGAAAAGGAAAACGAAGAGTAAACGGCTAGTAAAACAGGACAATAACAACAAAACTTGTAGATCAATAAAATGTAGAAACGAGATGATTTGATTGCATGACTTGTAACAAATTATGCAGTAAATTAGATAATAGAAAAATAGACAATTTGAAAGATCCACCATGACCTAAAAATCAAGTCCGCCTTATTCCGTCTACATAAGGTACAAAATTTTATAGCCGTTCCCAACAGTAGTATAAGTGAATTTCCTTCTTAGTACCCTCAATTGCAGGAAGCCCTACAGTTGAGCATCAATTTAAAAAAATACTCTTACTAGTTTTGACAAAAAGACTCGTATTACAATGGCCCGAGGGTTTGTTTTTCAAAGAATTCGAATTTTAAACGGTTCATTTCTAATTAAAGATATTACATTACGTCGGTACATTAGGTTTTGCTTGCAGATATCGTATAAAGAGCTCCTGTTACGACTATCCGATTATACTGATATTTCTGTTTTAAATTTCCTCAGTATTCTTTGCTGCTCGCTTGGCTATGGGTACCACGCCATTCACATGACCAATCAATAAATCATTATAATGTTCAGAGAATTAATGACAAATGACTTTTTTAATATATTTATCAATCGACTTAAAAAAAAGAAGAGAGTTTTCAATTCGGTAGTATTTTTTGTTGGCTCAGACCATCATTTGCAAATCAATTTATAAATTATTTTCTTTTTTTATCTGAAAGGATATATTTTTAGATTGATCATAGAAATTTCATCAAAATCAAATATTTCGTTTAGTTTTTAAATCAAAATAAATTGTTTTGACGATTGAAGTCGTGTTTTTTTTTTTTGTGAAACAATACTATTATGGCAAATTATATTATCAATAAGACACATGCAAAATTCGCCGCGAAGTCTCCACAGAAAGTCTAACTTTTACTCTCCTATCATAGTGATGATAAAATTATTAAAGATTTTTTTTAACTTAGAATGGCAAATAAGCTGATGGCCCATCTGATGGAAAGTGGTAACCGTCGCCTATAGACATGATACCCCCCCATGCGTTGCCATTCCTGAGGACTCAGGTGTTATTCCTCTATACTCAGTAAATTTACGCCATATTCCATCCTTCAAACCGAAACACAGCCATGCAAACACAACTGCTTCACGGTTGAAACACGAATGGGACAGAGGTACTCAAGCAATCGACTTTTGTACAAAGTCTCCCTCTGGTTCTTGGATCATGCCGTGCTATGGTAAATCATAAAAGCTCCCACTAACATTAAGTCTTAACATTAAAAATACCACACTTCTTTTTGGACAGTCGTGTAAAACGCAATTTATTATTTATGGCTATTTAAAATCGTTTCTCTCTCTCACAGAAAATCGTACGGGCATCTACAGAGTAATCTGCCGCGTGTCTCGTTAATAATGCAACGTCCGCCGCGTGGCAAATGGCTGACTAATCAAATATTCGACAGAGGACTTGTGTAGTCCGCCTCGGAAATTATCCGAGGCACCCATGATGAAATTAAAGCAAACACTACAGTCTCTATAGGCTAAACCTTAAAACATTTAGAACACAATACAAAGTACATATGGATCTGCAAAAAAATAACACAGTCACTAAAAAAAACCACTTCAATTATGGCAATAACAATTTTGATATAAAAATTAACTACTAAATAGATTTTGATAGAATTTCTATGGACCAATTTATATATAAATGTATTATTTTAGATAAAAAAAGAAAAGATATTTCTAAATCATTTTATAACTAACGGAGTTATGAGGTAACAAATATAAGAAAAACAGTCGATTAAAAGACTACTTTGACCTTTACTAATTACACCAATGAAAGACGTTTTGCAGATACATTATATCAGATTTAGAACAGAAAATCATAGATCTATAAGTACAACAAGATTTTCACTCGTCATAAAACAAACAGAATCAATATGGAAATCAACCCTATTGATCGAAAAATAATTTCTTAGAAGGGACTCAGAAATGGCGAGGTAATCACGTAATATAGCCACATAAAAATTCAAACGCACTGTGAACTTCCCCTTTTGGAAGTTGGTTAATTTAGCCACAACACAAATACTACAGCAAGTACTATTAATTATTAATACGGGTCAGTGTATGCCTGACTCAGCTTAATGCTGTGGTGCATAACTGCACAGGTATCATAGCAGCTGTTGGTATTCTGCCAGGTTTCTGTCATAAAAGACGCGATTCATAGGCCATTCACCATCGCCAAGGTTAAACTAAAAGCTACAATCGAATCTACCAATCGCAGGAATTTTTCATAGACAGCTCTGTATAAAATAAAAAAGTAATACTCATAGATTCATTCATTCTTTTTACAGGGATACTACTGTATAGAATTTTTTAAAACTTAAAGTTACAAACAAGCTGAAAGCTCACCTAATAAAAATGATAGCCGTCGTCGCCTATAAACTTTACCAGTATGGCACAGTACCATAGATATCACAGAATACATTAACTTGTAAATGGTAACATCTTAACCCTTATAAACGCGGGGAAAGGAATTGTTAGTAATGGAGACTAAAAATCCCATTGCTAGCAATATACCTAACCAAGTCGACCTCCACGCGGTTCCCCCTGGAAACTATCATGATTAATTCATGATGAATTCATCATGATAGGCTAACTGGCCTGTTTTCAATCTCGTCGATCACCCTTCACTGGTGCTCCGCCAGCATATCCCGTTAACGCAGACGGAGTAACCAATCCATTTTCATCCAACAAAAAAAACCCTCATAAGCGCATCTATTTACGTGGGGTGCAATCTAAGGCACAAAACCTGTACTTTGACTTCTTTATTTTAAGGTTTCTCAACACATCGATAATTGAACCCTCCAGCTATGTGAGGATTGACTTTCGGATCATTTGTGTAACTTTGAATCTTATGATGATATTCTTGTTTTAAATAAATTTTAATGTACGTATTTAGAAAGTGCCGGTATAATACTAAAATTATTTGTATCAAAACTTCTCAAGTTCGTCTGGTCTTAAGAATAATTTAAATATATAAAAATAGGTTTTTTTTGGCATCATTTCTAAATAATTACAGTATTAAATTTAAGCATGTTTTACTATTGTAAATAACTAGTCACAGTAACGACGGCCCGTACTAACCGTCGCCTATGAATACAAACACCATCAAGGTACTGGCAATCAGTCAGGACCTTGATATATTTCAGATAGATATATACATAGAATCAAATGATATTGGTATAATGTGCCCAAATTACGAGTACGTCCGTCATAATCCGTTTAATATATTTAAAAAATGAAGTCACCCATTATCCGTCCACTGCTGGACATAAGCCCCCCCCCCCCCATAGACTGCCATTGCTCCCACTGACTCCCTGCAATGCATTTAAGGTCGTCACTCCATCTAGTGTGGGGTCGTCCCGCTTTCAAAAAGACAGAACTAATTGATAAGAAATATGAATCGCTTGTTATTTCCTATCTGCAATAAGAAAAATATTTCACTATTTCAAAATCGTAAAAGGCAATTTTAGTATTAACTCTGCTTATTACTAGAGAACATCGGAACATACCACCTTATTTCGCCTATCTAAGTACTTATATCAAAACAAACACAGAACCTCCTTTTTAAAAGTTTAGAAGGTTATATACACCTACAAGTAAAAAGTGCAAGGTCCCTTACAATGACATTCTTAAAATAAACTTTCTGTACCTACCGACACCTACACCCACACAGAATAGTTATACGAGTCCTTAATTATTTAAATTGAAATATATAGCAATCACATTATTTTTTGCGGGAGAGAAACTTTGAAAAAAAAATCGTTCGTAGACCGGGGGGGTTGTTAGTAACCAGTCACAGTTAGTACACAGATAAGACACATTTTAGTACAGTGGAATAACACCTGAGTCCTTAGGATTGGCAACGAATGGGGGGTGTTATGGGCGAAACAGTTGTGTCCATGGTACTTCTTATGACTATAGGCGACGGTTGCCACTTTCCATCAGGTGGGCCGTTAGCTTGTTTGCTATTCTAAGTTGTATAAAAAAAAAAACAGAATTAGCGACCCCACTGCTAAAAATAAACCTAATCAGATTGGTCCCTTCAGATAGCGTCGTAGTTAATTCCTTGTGAATTACTCACGAGAGGCCTAATGCGCTATCACTTGTAGGTGTTTATATCTACACGCGACGGTTACCACTTCCCATGATGATGGTCCGTCAGCTGCCGTTTCAAGTTAAATAAAAAACATTACAACGGCTAAACTAAATTATAGGCCTCTTTAACGAGATCTGAGATCATTTGATATATGGTCACTTTTGGAAAAAAAAAAAACTAGTTAATTTTTTACTTTTTTGTAACGGCACAATGGTCTTCTTGTAACGTTTTATGAAGATCAAACTTAAACTGTAAAAGA